GGACGGTAGGCCCAGTATTCTGCTTAGCTGCCAGCCGGGGGTTAACCACACGCGGGCGCCTAACCGCCCGCCGGCGCCTGCGGCGGCTACCCGGGCTACCCGCCGCCGCAGCAGTACGGCTACCCGCCGCAGGGCTACTACCAGCAGCCGTACGCGCCGCCGCAGCAGTACTACCAGCAGCAGGCCGCCTACCAGCAGTACTACCAGCAGCCTCCGCCGCCGCGGCCGCCGGCACAGTAGGCGCGCGCAGCCGCCCCGCGGCGCTTGCGACTCTGGTGTGGAGTGCCGAGACGGTGTGCTGCCGCGGCACTTCAGTAGCTACCGCGGCGGGGATAGCTTTCATTGTGGATGGGTTGATAGCTTTCATTGTGGATGGGTTGATAAAAGAAGCCATCGTCGGCATGGCGGTCGCGGGCTTGACGAGACCGCGGTCACACGTGTCACGACGAGACTGTGCGGTGTCACGGGAAGTTTATGTGCGCCCGGAGGGCGGAGCCGGAGTGCGGAGGCCCGAATATCGCGCAGGATTCGCGGTTAGGGAAGGGTTACCGCAACCATACCGGTTTTTCTTGCCGCATGTGCGCCGGCGGACTACGTGTCGAGCTGCCGCGCGCGCCGCAGAGGGAGCATCCCCGAGGGAGGCGGCGGCGATTAGCGATACTGACGACGGCAAAATCGTCGCGGAGGGCGGCCGCGGCGACGGCGACTCCAACTCCGACGGCGGCGACAGCGAAGGCTCCATGGAGGGCGGCGGCGGCGGCGAGCTCATCTACTCCCGCTGCCCTTCAGCCCACACGTCGACCTTCCTGGGCAGCAGCTGGTTCGACAGGTCCTCCCCGTGGCCGAGGCTGCCGTACTCGCCCTGGCCCCAGGCAAAGACAGCGCCATCGGCAGTAGTGGCGAGACTGTGGACTCCCGCCGACACAGCGACGACGCGCCGCCCAGCCAAGGCCTCGATCTTCTTCGGCAGCAGCTGGTGCTGCTGGTCGCCGTGGCCCAGCCGGCCCCAGTCTCCATCGCCCCAGCTCCAGACGGCGCCGTCGGCGGTGAGGGCGAGGCTGTGCGCGAGTCCAGCCGACACAGCGACGACATGCTGGCCAGCAAAGGCCTCGATCTTCTTTGGCAGCAGCTGGTCCTGCTGGTCGCCGTGGCCCAGCTGGCCAAAGAGACCAAAGCCCCAGCTCCAGACGTCGCCGTGGGCGGTGACGGCGAGGCTGTAGTTTGTTCCAGCCGACACAGCGACGACGCGCTGGTCAGCAAAGGCCTCGATCTTCTTGGGCAGCAGCTGGCGTTGCACGTCGCCGTGGCCCAACCTACCAAAGCTTCCCCAGCCCCAGCTCCAGACAGCTCCGTCGGCGGTGAGGGCGAGGCTGTGGTTGCCTCCAGCCGACACAGCAACGACGCGCTGGCCAGCTAAGGCCTCGATCTTCTTGGGCAGCAGCTGGCACTGCTGGTCGCCGTGGCCCAGCTTGCCAGAGACTCCACCACCCCAGCTCCAGACGGCGCCATCGGCGGTGAGCGCGAGGCTGTGCTCGGATCCAGCCGACACGGCGACGACGCGCTGCCCCGCCAAGGCCTCGACCTTCTTCGGCAGCAGCTGGTCTTGCTCGTCGCCATGGCCCAACCGGCCAGAGATTCCAACGCCTCCAGAGCCCCAGCTCCAGACAGCGCCGTCGGCGGTGAGGGCGAGGCTGTGGTAGTCTCCGGCCGACACGCTCACGGCGCGCTCGCCGCCCAGCAGAGGGAGGCGGGTCGGCGTGTTGAGCTGCGTCACGCCCCCGCCGTGACCGAGAAGGGCTGGGGTCCAAAACTGAGCCTTGCCGCACGACGAGAGCCGCCCCTCGCCGTCGATGAAGAGGCTGTGAGTCTCGCCTGCTGCCGCCCTCGCCGGCGGGTTGGACTCACGCAGCAGCGCCACACAGCACAGCCACCGCACGGCGCAGCTTTCGCCCTCTGGCAGCGCCAGCAGCTCGAAGCCGCGCTCTTGCGCCCACAAGCGGATGCCCTCCACCGCAAGCGAGGCGTGGAAGAGAAGCGAGACGGCCGCGACGCGAGCGATGTCGAGGGGGCTGTGGCAGTGAGAGAGGGCGCGCACGAGGAGCTCCGTGGGGAGGTCGAGGAGGCGGGCGGGCGGCGGCGTGTCTGGCGAGGGAGCGGCAGTGGCGGCGGGGGCGAGGCGGCGCGAGCGGCGGCGCGGCGGGGCAGCCATCGCGAGAGAAAGAAAACAGCGCGAGTGTATCTTTGTCGTTGCCTATCCCCGCCACCGAGGCGAATCTCCTACCGGCGGGGAAACATCGCGAGAAAAAAGAAATTATCAAGCGTGTAATTCTTCAAGGCTGAACTCTCGCTTGGCACCAAACCCGCGGCGCGCTTCGCAGAGCGGCCCGAGCTCATCGACTTCCGCCAGCTCGGCACCTGTTTCCACAGAATTCGAGAGACGTCAGCGCGATCTCTACTCAGAGGATCGAGATGCGCAGTGTCCTTCGGCGCACTCTCGGGATCGAGCAGCGAAGCTAGCGTGCTCCCTTTGCGCACACGCGCGTCGATCTCGGACACGAGCCGCGGGTAGGCCTACGGTCTTGGGCGACTTCGCGTTTATACGGGCTGCGTCGAGCCAACGCCGACGCGCGGCATTGGTTGGGACTGGCCTGCAGCACTTTGTAGTCGTCTTGCGGCATCAAGACGGTCACACGCCCGGCGCCATCCTGGTCCAGGTTCCATCCGTTCGCTGTCAGCACGTGGAGCCGCTGGAAGGTGGCGCGACCCGCCGTCTGCACGAGCTGGTCGATGGAAGCCCCTTTCGCCATCGAGAGGACGAGATGCGATGGCACGCGCGTCGCCGAGACGAAGCTCTCCGACCGCGCCATCATCGCGTAGCCTAGGGCGCGGCGCCCGCGGAGGGCACGTGAATACGAGGAGGGTGGCCCCCGCACTCTATCGCGGTGCGGCGCCAAAGCAAGCGATCGGGTCTCCGCCGCAGCCGAGCTCACAGAGCATCGTCTCCACTGCCGAGAGCACCTCCACCGCCGTCGCGCGCCGCGTCCTCGCCCCGCCCACCACAAACGAGTGTGCGGGGCCGATCCTCGCCCCGGAATCGCCTACTCTCGTGGGAATATCGGGCAGTCACGCGACTTTCTGAGAGCGATGAGCAGGCCGAACCCGCGGCGTCAGCTCTCGCCTGGCTCCCACTGCAGCGTCGCCTAATCTCGAGCAGTCTCGATTCACCTCGGGCGACGTACCCTCAGGCTGGCCCTGGCCCCCGTGGCATCGCCGCCTCCTGCGTCGTCACCCAGTGAACCTCCGACTGGCTGTGCACGCTTCTCAGCCGCGCGTCGCGCAGCCCGACAAATGCGCAGCCTATACGTGACGAGTCGTGGGGGACGCGTCTCGGAATGCGCCGGGGCGTGAGCTTTCCCAATGCAATCAGCAGCCCTGGACTCCGCGCACGTCGCCCGCGTCGCCGACGGACGCCGCCGCCCGCCGCGCAGCCTGTGCCGAGAGGCGGACGGCGGCGCCCTTGCCGTAGTAGACGATCACGCTCAGATTTGGGTGCCGCCGCTGGACAGCGCGAGCCTGGGCAGCGGTGGCTGGGCACGGTGGCGTGGCCTTTGATTGTAGATGGCCGGAGCGGGGTGCTAGGGTGAAGGGGAGATCATGGGTCAGCGCAATCTCGGCCACCCCGCCTTGTCGAAGAGCGAGGGCGCGACGTACACGCGCGACAGCGTCACGTCGAGTAAGAGGCCGCGGCGCGCATCGCCGCGTGCGCCACCACAGCAGAGGTCTGCAAACATCGCCGCGACCAGGTCGTCCCAGGCGGGGATGACGCCTACCCTCGAACGGGTCCCGAGGCTGAGCTCAATGCCGCCGGCGCCCGCAGGCATCCAGGGCAGGGGGGGGCGCCGGCGTTGCTACGCGTGTCGCCCTCCTCGCCGCCGCTGCCCCGCAGCGGCGTGGCTGGTAGAGGCTTCGACAGGAAGAGAGGCTCCTGTCCGAAGCTCGCCCCTCGCCCGAGCCCGAGGGGGGCGAAGCGGTCGACGCCGCAGTAGCGGCCGCTCGGCGTCGTCGAGAAGAAGATCTCGCCTACACTCCTCCACGATCTTGGGTGATCTCGGGTGACCCAGCATTCGTCAAACGCCCTTTTCGCGCCTACGGCGTTGCTCGCAGCTCGGTTGGTGCCTCGAGCCGCACTAAGCGCCGGCTAAAGAGCGGTCCCTCGCCGCCCGGCTCGTGCCCCTCTCGCACTGCGTGGAGGAGGAGCGGCATCAGCGTCGCCGTGATTGAGACTACGAGCCGCGTCTCTGGCCGCCGTTCGAGCCGCTCGAGCGCCTTCTCCAGCTCGAGCTTGCAGTAGGGAGGCGCGGTCCGCAGCAGCGCGTCCGCCTGCGCATAGGGTGGGGCCCACACGCTGCACGAGCCACACACGTGCCAGAGAGAGTAGGTGGTGGCGCGTGTCAGGATATGTCAACTGTCATATTTGCAAAGTGGATATGCCAACCTCATCCTTGAAGAGGACGTACGGCGTGCCGGGTGCGAGGCTGCGCAGCACGCCTTCCAGCTGGTAGCAGCTGTCAGACACGACGACGCAATCGCCTACGTGGTGAGGAGCGGCGGCCGCTGAGGAGGGAAGAGAGGGCCTGGCTGCAGGCCAGGCGAGGTCCGCTGCCGTTGCTCAGGAAGCGCGCCCGGCGCTCGGCCGCCGTCTCTGCGCTCCCACACTCCCGCTCGCCGTAGTGCATGCACCTGGCTGCTGTGTGCTCCGCCTCTGGCTCAGCGACGAGCCCATCCCCACCCTCGTGCTCCGCCTCGCTAAGCAGCGCATCAGGCTCAACGAGCGCACCCTCGTGCACCAGCCGCAGCGCGTCTCCGATCTTGGCGGTGAGCGAGTTGCGGCCAGAGACCTTGTGCGTGACTACAATGCTGGCGAGGCCGAGCGCCTACGGGGTGCGCGGCGGGTGTGTGGGCGAGAGCGGGACGAGGCAAGAGTCTGGGAGGCGGTGTCTCGCCTTGGCCAGTAGCACACCCACCACCACAAACATCGACTTGCCTACCTGCGTGCTGCCGCCGGCAAGGATCTCACCCCGGAGCCCCGCGACGGCGTCCTCGCTTAGCCGCCCGTGCATCGCGCACAGGAAGCCCGCCACGTCGAAGCAGCAGCGCTCAAAGACCTGGTCGCTCGAGCGCAGCGAAGAGTAGACTCCCTGCAGCACAGGAGGCGCACCCTCGCCAAGCTCTGGGTGTACCAGCGGCTCGAGGTCGGATGACTCGTCGCCAGACACCCCTCCACCGTCCGCATCGCCCGCGTCGAGGACGTCCTCGCCAGTATCTGGCTCCGCCTCTGCTGCGAACTGAGCGCCAAGCGGAGGCTCGTCGAGGCACATCGTCTCGAGAACGGTCCGATCGACCTCAGCGTAGTAAGCAATCTTGCTGCGAACCAGCGCGGACAGGTCTACCAGCGGCGGAGGCGGAGGCTCCGCCTTGCCGGCCGCCGGCGAGGGCTCGTCGCTGTGCTCTGCCGGAGCGGGCGCGCTAGCGGCTTGGACGGCGGGTGGCTCTGGGCGATGCCGCTTGACGCGACGGTAGGTCTTGGCAAAGAGAGAGGGCGAGGGCGGCGCCGGGAAGGCCATGTGGCACTACGCCTTGCAAGCCTGCTATTGAGTCACGCTACGCTCAAAAAGAATTTTTTGACCAATAAAAAAAATCAAAGTAGAAATACCCACATTCGCACCTGTGCCTCTCTGGACAGGGTGGCCCGCCTCAACGACACCTGCCTGGAGTTGCGACTCGCCGCTTTCCTCCGCTGTGATTTGTGTGAGCTCTGTGCCTTGATCTGCAAACAACGCGCCTAAATTTTCTTCCCTCGACGCTCTGCCATGGCCGCCGACGCCGCCGCCAGCCGCGCGTCCTCCGCCTCGGCCAAGCGAGGCCGGCAGGCCGCCACCGGGGAAGAAGAAGGAGAGCCTCGCCGCCGCCCGACCGTAGCCGGCGCCGATCACGCTGATACGAAACCACGACGACACACACCCCCAGTCGACTCGCATCGGTTGCCTCGACGGAAAAGCTATTTTTGCGTCGCTCACACACTCACAACCCCGTATGTATGAAGTAGATCTAGGAAGGTGAAGAACAGTCAGGCTCGGACTGGACACCAACGCGGTATGGGTGGACGCTACTGTGCTGTATGAATGGTTGGGCAGGTGTGAACAACACCTCGTGACCACGGCGCCACAGGCGCCTGTTGATGGGTCCAGGTGATAGCCCTGAATGGGCAATGCATACGCCTAGTTGGGCCTCAGATCGCCCGACCGCGTCCCGGTGCTCTGTGGTCGGATTTGTGACGCCGCCGCACCGCGCCGCGGCCGGGGGCCCTCCGGAGGCCGAGGATGGCCGTGACGGACCGGGACAAGCTCTGGGAGGTTCAGTGTCAGTGTGTACATTGTAGAGGCTACCCATGTGCACAATATCTTGACTGAGAGCTAAGCCAGGGGAGGCGATGCCGGGGCCGTACAGCAGCGTGATGGTGCTTCGCCGGCGTGCGTCCCGGAGCGGTGCCGGACAGGCGGTCCGTGAGAGGAAATCCAGGGACAGCGCCGACGGCGCCCTGATTCGACTTTTAACTTCAAACAAAGACAGTCGCACGCGCCGCAGTGCGGTGCGTGCGACTGTCAGGAGCGGATCCGTCAGTTAGTCGTGTTCACGCCGGGATCGTGTCCCTCACTACTTGCCCAACCATTCGTACAGGAGAGTAGACAGATGATGACGACACGCACGAGCGACACACAGACACAAACAAGCTCACAAGACACACAGCCAGCGGGCTGCCACACATCCTGAGTGGGCGTAACCCCGTATTCGAAAAAAGAAAAAAGAAAAGACGCTCCCGCCAAACGATGGCGTCTCACAACGGACTTGAGTGCTGGATGTGCCTTGGCGGGGCGACGCACGCCTGCCCGCGCTGCGACGTCGCATACGGGACCGCCGTCTGCCTGACGTGCTTTGAGAAGGCGGCCCGCCAGGCCGACACGAAGCGCAAGCTTGGCCGCCTACGGCACGACGCGCTCGACTGGTCCGGCGCGCCGCGAGGAGAGCGGCCGCTGCGGCCGGTCGACATGGCGACGACGCCAGCTTCGCCGTGCCAGAGCTGCACGCGCGAGTGCCTGCAGTCACAGCTGCGGCTGCTTCCGGCGCCCGCGCCGCCGCTCGCTGCAGGCCCCGGCGGCCAGCAGGCACCGCCAGTGCCGGTGCAGGTGCGCAAACCACACCGCAGATTCTGAGTCGCGCGCGGCTGTCTCTCTTCTCACGCTCTTCGCCCTTCGCCCGCCAGGTGCCGGCTGTGGAGGCGGCGGCGGCGACGGCCGCGCCAGCGACGCCGGCCGAGCTCGCGCCGCTGCCTGCGGAGGCTGCCTCGCCGCCGGCAGGCGGTGCGGCGGCGCCCTCTGCGGGCAGTGCGTCCTGGCTCACGTTCCTCGGGACGGCCACCGCGTGGGTTGGGGGGGCCGTGCTCGAGGCAGCGGCGGAGGGCCTCCGCCGAGCAAAGCGGCGGCGATGCGAGGGGGAGCAGAGGGAGGGAGGGGGGGGGGGGGAGGACGAGGCGCCGCCTTTCGGCTCGAGCGGGCGGGCGCGCCTCGGCGGCCCCTCCGCCGACGAGGCGGGCGGCGGTGGCGCGCCGCCGGCCGCGCCGGCCGCGCAGGCCGCCGTGCGCACCATCACCGCTGCAGGCGCCGAGGCAGTTCGGCAGGCAGACAGGGAGGGGCTCTCCCTTGCCACGGGCGGGAGCAACAGCGGCTACAAAGGCGTGACCTACTGCCCGAAGAGGAAAGGCAGCAAGAAGTACCAGCTGATGGCGACGGTTGGAGGCAAGAGTGTCTTCCTCGGCTGGTTCGCCACCGCCGAGCAGGCTGCGCTCTTCTACGCCCGCAGGGAGGCGGGCAGGGACACCAGCGATCTCACCGCGCCGCCGCCACCGCCGCCGCCGCCCGCACCTTCCTCTGCCGCTGGCGCCGACGCAGTTCGGCAGGCGGGGAGGGAGGGTCTGAGTCTGGCAACGAGCAGCAGCAGCAACAGCGGCTACAAAGGCGTGTACTACTGCCCGAAGAGGAAAGGCAGCAAGAGGTACGAGCTGAAGGAGTCGGTTGGCGGCAAGGTGGCCAGCCTCGGCTTTTTCGCCACTGCCGAGCAGGCGGCGCTCTTCCGCGCCCGCAGGGAGGCGGGCAGGGATACCTCCTAGAGAGAGACACGAGGCGATGGAGAAGAGGTTCGCCGCCGAACTTTCGGTCCGGCGAGCCTTCCCGCCGCCGGGTCGAGGCCCCAGCGCAGTGACTGTGGGTGAGAGACGAAACGAGAGGTGTGTCCGACTCGATCCGAGAACACTTCGACATCAAACCATGGCTCTCAAGCAAGGTCCGACAACGGCACGTGCGTCTTCTTTTTTCTCTGTGTAGCTCAGTGGGCCGAAAGAGCGTACCGAAAGAGCCGCGAAGATTTACCCACAGGCGCTGCCTGGTTCTCTCGCATCGCCGTGCCGCTCTCGCCTCGCCGTGCCAAAGCCAACCATCTTCGTCGCGGCCACGCGGCAGCATGTCGGAAAGACCACCGTCAGCCTGGCGCTGATGAGCGGCCTGCCATGTCGGAGTCGCTCTTATCGCGCTTCTTCTTGGAGCACTTGGAGCACTTGGAGTGCAGTCATTAACCGCACACCCAGGGCCGGGGAGCTCAGAAGCGCACCCAGCGGGCCGGATGATTGGCATCGGGTTACGGGCTAGAGAGCCCTAGCCCCGGGGGTGCGCGTTCGCAGGGAAAGGGCCGTAAAGTAAACACGGGTCTCCGAGGGTTGGCTCCGCGCTCCAGGTTTCCCCTAGCAGCAGACCGCCCCCTCTACTCGGAGCTATAATGAACACCAGACATGCACACGACACGCACTCTCACACGACGTCACCGCTCAGGGCCTCTTCGTTCGCGCAAGGTCCTCATCCTCACTCCGGAGGAGGCTCCCCTCTCCTCTGAGTTCTTCCTCTTGTTCGCCTTCCGATGATCGTCTGACGGGCGCGGGGCCCGGCCTCCCCTCCTAGCCTTTTTCAGCCGCGGCCCCGCCACCGCCTCGTCTTCTCTGTCCGATTCTGTCGCCACGACGGTGATCTCTCGCACTTGGAGCACTTGGAGTGCAGTCATTAACCGCACATCCAGGGCCGGGGAGCTCAGAAGCGCACCCAGCGGGCCGGATGATTGGCATCGGGTTGCGGGCAAGAGAGCCCTAGCCCCGGGGGTGCGCGTTCGCAGGGCAAGGGCCTTAAAGTAAACACAGTTCTCCGAGAGGGCTCCGTGTACCGGGTTTCCCCTTAACTGCAGAACGCCCCCTCTACTCGGAGCTAGTGGACACGGACACTACGACACCACCCGTCACGTACACACACGACTGTCTAACGTGTACACTGCCCGGCCTCATCCCCCCCCTTTCAGGGTGGATCTTCAGTCTGGTTCGGTCTCTTGCTCGCCTTTCGGGCGTCGCCCCACTGCCTCTGCAGTCGTTTTTGATGTCTCTTCTTCGGAGGCGGCCCCTCCGCCCCACCTCCGTCGGCTAGCCCCATTGGCCCCGAGGGAGCCGACAGCCCGGGTGGGGCCTCCCCGGGCGGGAGTGGCGGCATTGTGTCTCGTCGCCACCCCTCCCCGGGAGGTCGGGCCGGCTCTCCCTGGTCGGCGAATCGCGCCCGCATCCGCGGCCTCTCCATCGTTCTCGCAGTGTTACTGAGTAGAAACTTCTTGTTTTCTGTGCTTCCGCCATGCTGCATGCCGGCTCTCGTCGCGGCCCCGTACGCGCCGCGCTCGCCATGTGCGTCGGCTCGTCCGCGCTCGGCTCAGGTGCGCTCAACGAGCGCAGCGTCGAGACGGCGCACAGCTTCACCGGCCGGATGTGTGCTGCCAGCCGGCTCGAGGAGACTAGGCGGCCCGACTCTCTATTCTCCGACCCGCTTGCGTACACGCTTGCCGGCAAGGAGGGCCGCGCCCAGCCGATGGGCGGCTGGATCATGGTGCCGCGGACACGCTTCGGCGACGATTTTCTGCGCGATCACTACACGCGCGGCGCCCGGCAGCTCGTGCTGCTTGGCGCTGGTTTCGACGCGCGCGCCTACCGCATGAGCGGCCTGCCGGAGCTTCGCGTGTACGAGGTGGACCAGAAGACAACCTTTGAAGTCAAGGAGCCGCTGCTAACCGGTGGGCCGCACTCCCAGGTCATGAGACGCACACTTGGTTGGACTGCGCGACCATTCATGCCGCAGGTGAGTCGCTCGCAGTGGCGTCTCGCGCCGCCGTCGCCACCGAGTTCACCCGACCGGGCGAGTGGGCGGCGGCGCTGCTGGCGTCCGGATTCGATCCCGCGGTGCCGACGACCAATTAGAGAACCGCCACGCGCAGCGTCTCTTCACGGCTGCTGCTGTGAGCAGGCACCATACACACCGTCACGAGCGAGTGCGATGTGAGCGGCGTCTCTTCTTCACGCGCGATGCTGTCTCAAGGTACCGACGGTGTGGCTCGCCGAGGGCCTGCTCATGTACCTCTCCGCCGCCGACGCGGCCGACCTGATGAAGCAGGTGCGTCTGCTCATGACCAATCTCCCTCCCTCATCCCGGCTGTGAGGCGCATAGTGTGTAAATGACCCCTCCTCGTCGCCCCTCACCACCGCTCACCAGGTCGGCCAACTCTCTGCGCGCGGTTCCGCCGTCTTCCACGACGCCGTCTCCGCAGAGTACCTGAACGCGCGCGTGAGCGTCGCGGGTGCGCCCTTCATCGGCGCGTCGGACGAGTACGTCAACATGTGGCGTAGCATCGGAGGGTTCGGCTCCGGATATGCGCACGACTTTCGCGCCATCAAGGTGGACCGCGCCCGCCGCCGCATCGACGTGGATCGGCGCTGGCCCGAGGCGACGGCCGCGCGGTGCGCAGGGCAGCAGGTCGTGCTCTTTGTGGAGGTGGAGATGGAGTAGCCCGATGCGTGCGTGTGGGTGGGGAGGGGTCTTGTGTCGTGATTTTGTGCGCGTGGGACTTTCGCTATGCACAAATAGATCACAACACAAGGATCACCAGGCACCGCCTCGGTACACGAAATCTGTCTGCGGGCAGATCCGCACACCGCAGCTCAAATCATCGCAAACCCTCTCAGGACTCAGCAGTCCACCTTCACGCTTCAGAAGCAGCAACTAGAGTAGCGCAGACGAGGAAGCAGAAACTAGCGCAGACGCGAGCAGGGCAGACCCGGGGACTGGGGAGCCGGAGCAGACGGCATCGGCCGCCGAGGGAACGTTGGGAAGAGGCACGAGGAGGGCGCGGCGACCTCGACCGACTATGGAGGACCCGTCGCCAGACGACGCAGGGCAGACGATGTGGAGGCGGAGCAGAGGACCAGAGGTGACGCGCAGGGCGAAACGAGGGAGGGAGCAGGACTTTGCGGAGATCAGCAGGAGGATGTACGAAGAGATTAGGAGCAGCAGGGACCCGAGGGACCATGTGGAAGACGGCTAGTGCTAGTCCCCCATCGGGAGGACGACCCCGGCTAGCCGCCGACCACACCCACAAAGAACCCTGCACAAAGATCGCACGGGCGGGGACCTGTTCCTTTTTACCCATCTCACAGTAGGAGGTGTCCGTTTTTATTTATTTATTTAGTCCACCTTCGGGTACGTTGTGGTAAGAGCCACATACACTTCGTGAGAGAGAGAGAGAGAGAGAGAGAGAGAGAGAGAGAGGGGAGAGAGAGAGAGAGAGAGAGAGAGAGAGAGAGAGAGAGAGAGAGAGAGAGAGAGAGAGAGAGAGAGAGAGAGAGAGAGAGAGAGAGAGAGAGAGAGAGAGAGAGAGAGAGAGAGAGAGAGAGAGAGAGAGAGCAATCTCTCGAACCCAGTGAGCGCGGCAGTGATGACTGCCCCATCCTCTCCGAGGATTCGTTCACCGGCTTCTCCGACTGCGCTGAGTGGTACCGTAGGGCCCCCAAGGGCCTAGAAATCGCGCCTCCCTCTCCCTTTTCACCCTACCTAAGTCAGTATCTTGTTGGCAAATCAGGACACAGAGCTCACACACCCAGAGGAGCCCGTACCCGTCGCTGGAGCTAGTGTCGGTCGGAGCTCGACAGCAGCTCAGCAGAAAGGCGAGCTTGCGGCAGGACACGGTGGCATCTCCCAGCGGCAGGAAGGCAAGGACGGAAACGATGAGCAAGAGACTAGCGAGGGGTAGCAGGAGCAGATCGCCAACCGCTTGCTGAGCAAAGACGAGCAGCGTTACAAGGAGGGGGAGGCTGAAGACGGTGGCTGTCCACAGCAGGTAGCCTGGAAAGCGAGACTCCGAGATCATGAGCTTGAGCACCCGCGCCGACTTGATGGAGGACCACAGCAAGGAGAGGCTGGCGGGAAGGCAATACGCCATGGAAGTCACGCCGGTAGACGCGCCGATGGAGCTGCGCAACACATCTTTCGAACCGACCAAGGCGGCCAGCGCAGCCTTGATCTCTCCAATTGCGGAGCGCGAAAAGCACGCGCTCGAGATGACCGGGTCAAGAGTGAGAAAGTACTCTGCGCACAGCTCCAGGCACGTGACGGCGGCGTCTGCGCCCGCGGCTTGAAACCGGAGCGTCGCGCAGACCACACAGTGGTCCGGCACGGCGACTCCACCCCTCTCCCGGAGGCGGTCGGCCCGCGCTGCGGCGTCCGCGTCGTTCTCGCTCGCAGTGAAGGCAGCGGCAAAGGACATGCAGTCCCCACACGGGCCGCAGGAGTCCTCGGCTTGACCTTGGCACACGGCGGCGAGCTCGGGATCGAGTGCGCCGGCGTTCCGCTGCGCGAGCGGGCATGTCGTCAGCGGCCAATCGTACAAGACGCCATTCTCCTCCAAGGCGCTTTCCAGGCGGGACCCGATGAGGTTTGGGTCTGCGCACAGCTCCGTGGCAGGCAAGCGTGAGGCTCGCAGCAGCTCCGCCACGTCTTCCCCGCCCACGAGCAGCCCTTCCAGTTCCGTGCCATTGTTTTGCAGCGCCTCCTCACACAGGGCGGTCTGCAGCAGGTCAAAGTCCACGAGATGACGATACGGCACGAGAAAACAGAGGTAGGGAAACGCGAGGAGCAGCAGCACGGCGGAGACGGCGCGGCTGCTCCTCTTTAGCTCCATCCACCGCCACAAGGCGAGCGAGGCAAAGAAGATGACGAGGAGCAGGCACACGTCCTCCATCAGGTCGACGAAGACGCTCGCAGTCTCCATGGGCGCAAACGCGTCGATGTACCTCCGATCCGAGAGGGAGATGTTGAGCAGATCAGCCTTCGATGCAAACGCCTCTGACGCCGAATCCGCAGTTTCCGAGAGGGAAAACATCACCGAAAGCGTCAAGAATGGGAGGGCGCCGAGCAGTTGGGCCCTCCGCCACACAAGATACTTTGTCAGCAGCGTCTCTGCGCCGAGCTTCTTCAGCTCTGCTCTCGTGAGCCTGACCGTGGGGACGTCCAAGATGAAGAAGCGCATGAGGTGCTCGAAGCATCCGACCTCACTGGCACTGGTGCTGGTGACTGAGGCCGCCACCGCCGTGTCCGACCCCGGCCCTCCCGCGGGTTCAGAGGGCCCTCCAGCCGTCTTCGCGTTGGGAGTCGGACCGGTCGACTGCATCTCATCGGCAGCTCCGAGAAGAACAGCCTGGCTCGGACTACGGAACTCTGTGTCTGAGTGCGTCGCCCGTGCGTGCGTCCCCGGGGATGCTTGACGTTGGCCGCCGGACTTATGCCGATCTTTCTCTCCTAGCACGCGCCAGTTCGCACCTGTGTCGAGCCTGTCTGCTGTGAGAGAGAGTTGTTTTGTTTAAATTCTTTTGAGAGAGAGTTCTTTTGTTTATATTCTTTTGAGCTTAGCCTTCGATGTTATGAAACAACGCAAGGCGGACATGGCATATCGCTCTCGGGCCCACAGACATCCCGCACACTCGCCGCACACCCGCCGCCCCCGCGCGCGCCCCGCCCCGGCCGGGAGAAAGGGGAGTGACAGTTTGGGACGGCAACAGAACGAGTATGTTGAGTCCTGGCTCAACAACGCAGAGAGAAATGAAAGCCGTCCGGCTCACAAGCTCACATCTTTCTTTTTCAGTGTATGTGGTTTTGAGGGTGGTTTTCAGTGTATGATACCTGTATGTGGCTCTCGTGTCGGGCCAAAAGAAAGACAAAAACGAGGGATGGGATAGGACAGATACGTGGCCTTCTTTTCTGGTGTGGCTTGATCTCCGATCTCAGCGACGTCGAGTCGCCTTCGGTGGCGACAGCTAGGATGCATCTCCTCCGTCGTTTTTCGCGCGATGGCCTTGAGAAGCTGCCGGCGCACGCAGGCGGACCTTGTGTGTGCGCGGAACGCTTAAAAAGTGGGTGCTCTACGTCTAAAAGTGAGTAGATAGTGCCGAGCTGGCCGTGACAGCATTTTCGCAGTTTTAGGCGGCAGACTTTTTGCAACTAGTCTAGAGCTGCGCCGGTCGCAGGTTTAGAGAACTATTGCAAATTTGTAGTAGTTAGTAGAGCTAGGGTATCGGGAGACAGCCTTTTCCGGAAGACGACTTTTACCGAACAAAAAGCGTGAACACTGCAAAGTTGTAGAGCGCGCGGCCGCACAATCTCAATCATCAGAGACACCTCCGACGCGTTCACGCGCTCTCCGCTGGCGCCGGGGCGGCTGCTCTTCGGAGCTGCGCCTCAGGCTTGGGAGGCGGCAGCTCAGTAGCTCAGAATTTCACAACAAAGCTCCCTCGCACAACACTGGGCACGGCGAGTGCGAGAACATCCCGGAGCGCGTCAGCGCGTTGGGCGGGATCAGGGGCGAGGCCGTCAGCATTCTGGAGAATGTTGGCAGGGGCGGGCAGGCGCGCTAGCTATGCACTGCACGGCGGCGGTGGCAGCGGCGGCTAGGGATAGCCATATCTGGTGAGAGTCTCCGGGAAGAGGCTCCCAACGCACAGCTCGACGATGCTCGCGATGCCGCAGACGAAGAAGGCCGTGCGGAGAAAGTCCTCGTTGACCACGTACGCCTGCCGGGGCGACGGAAAAACGACGACGAGAAGGAGGACGGGTCATGTTGTACGTGTGGTGGAGGCGGTGGGGGGCTCGAGCAGGCATCACGCAGCAGGACTGCGGGCGCGTCTGGCTCTCCTGCCTGCCTCTTTACGCACTCTTCACACAGGGGCTCTCACAGTCTGTGAGAGAGTCCCGTGAAGGTTCCCGGAAGGTTCCCGGGGCCGACTGCAGTAGGCACAGCGGGCGCGTCTGGCTGTCTTGCGGGAGGCGCGTCGTTGGTGTCGCTGGGAGGCGGCGCGTGTCGCACAGGAGGGGAGGCGGGCGCCGCGGGGCACGCGCCCTCGTTCAGGGTGGCGGCGTGCGGCCCGTATCTCGGCTGTATCTCGGTTGTCGGTTGTATCTCGGCTGTATCTCGCGCCGCAATGTAGGCGACTCGCGCAGCGAGGAGGAAGAGGGAGAGCTTCGCGCAGAGGGGCGGCGGTAGCTCGTGCGCCGACGCCATCCAAAAGGCGGGCGTCACGTACGCGAGGCACTCGATGCTGTTGTTGTGCGCGCACTGGAGCCGGTAGACGGCGGGAAGCTCCTCGGACAGCGCCGGCCCCTTGAGCATGCGCGGCGTGTGGTTGTCGTAGTGGCCGCCTGCCAGGCAGTGGTGGCTAACGGCTGGGCGCCAGCGGCACGAACGCTCTGGGCGCAAACGGCAGGGACGCTAAGCTGTGGGCGCAACGGCAGCCGGTTCGGGTGATGCACGCGTACCGAGGAGGTTGATTGCGACGATGGCGACGAGGCCGGAGCCGGCGGCCAGCGCAACGAGGAGAAACGCGACCAGCGCAGGCACCTTGGCTACCGGCACCGGCAAGGCATCGAGCACAGAGTCAGAGACCGGACTTGTGACGAATGTGTAAGCCGCAAAGTGCGCCGCGGGTAGCAGTAGTGGGAACAAGGCCAGCCCCTTGATCACGCCAGCATATCCGGTGGCCGAAAACGTGAGACCAAAGGTGGAGAAAAGTCCCATCGGGCTGTGAGTAGCGAGCTTTGTGTGAGTAGCGAGCTGTCTCTCCCGGCGCGCCGCTCCGTCGACTGGGTTCCAACTTTTTCCGGTATGGTATGGTTAGCCCCAAAGAAAAAAACGTAACACACTACAACAACTGCGCCCACGCCTCGATCTTCTTGGGCCGCAGCTGGTTCGACAGGTCCTCCCCGTGGCCTAGGCAGCCATCGCCGCCCTGGCCCCAGGCAAAGACAGCGCCGTCGGCGGTGAGGGCGAGGCTGTGGCGGGTTCCAGCCGACGCAGCGACGACGCGCCGCCCAGCAAAGGCCTCGATCTTCTTTGGCAGCAGCTGGTGCTGCTGGTTGCCGTGGCCCAACCTGCCTTGGTCTCCGTAGCCCCAGCTCCAGGCGTCGCCGTCGGCGGTGAGGGCGAGGCTGTGGTCGCCTCCCGCCGACATAGCCACGACGCGCTGGCCAGTGAAGGCCTCGACCTTCTTGGGCAGCAGCTGGCGCTGGTGGTCGCCGTGGCCTAGCTGGCCTCGCCCTCCATGGCCCCAGCTCCAGACGGCTCCGCCGGCGGTGAGGGCGAGGCTGTGGTACCATCCAGCCGAAACCGCGACGACATGCTGGCCAGCAAAGGCATCGACCTTCTTCGGCAGCAGCTGGTCCTGCGCGCCGCCGTGGCCCAGCCGGCCATAGGCTCCATGGCCCCAGCTCCAAACGGCTCCGTCGGTGGTGAGGGCGAGGCTGTGGTACAGCCCAGCCGACACAGCGACGACGCGCTGGCCAGCCAACGCCTCGATCTTCTTTGGCTGCCACTCGGTTTGCGCGTCGCCGTGGCCCAACCGGCCGTCGTCTCCAGAGCCCCAGCTCCAGACAGTGCCGCTGCCGGTGAGGGCGAGGTTGTGCCATGTTCCAGCCGACACGCTCACAGCGCGCTCGCCGCCCAGCGTCGACGGAAGGCGGGTCGGCGTGTTGAGCCGCGTCACTCCCTCGCCGTGGCCTAATCGGCCGTCGTCTCCAGAGCCCCAGCTCCAGATAGCGCCGTCGGCGGTGAGGACGAGGCTGTGCCCGGCGCCAGCTGCCACGCTCACAGCGCGCTCGCCACCCAGCGAAGTAGAAGAGAGTCGGGTCGGCGTGTTGAGCTGCGTCACGCCCTCGCCGTGGCCGAGGATGCCTGGGACGTGAACCGGCGCAGAGCCGCACGACGAGAGCCGCCCCTCGCCGTCAATGAAGAGGCTGTGGAAGTTGCCTGCTGCACGCCTCGCCGGCGGGTTGGACTTGCGCAGCAGCGCCGCAAAGCACAGCCACCGCACGGCGCAGCCCTCGCCCTCTGGCAGCGCCGGCAGCTCGAAGCCGCGCTCTTGCGCCCACAAGCGGATGGCCTCCACCGCAAGCGAGCCGTGGAAAAGGAGCGAGACGGCCGCGACGCGAGAGATGTCGGCGGGGTCGCAGCGAGAGAGGGCGCGCACGAGGAGCTCCGTGGGGAGGTCGAGGAGGCGGGTCGGCGGCGGCGTGTCTGGAGAGGGCGCAGCGGTGGAGGCGGGGGCGAGGCGGCGCGAGCGGCGGCGCGGTGGGGTGGACATATACACAAGCCAGCCGCTTAGAAAAAAAGCACGCAAACGATCTCCGCCCGTCGCCTTCAAACCCCGGCGGAGGCGTTGGCCCCCTGCGCTGTGCGTCCCGTAATTCAGAGCCGCACCGCGTCGGCTGCGTATGCACCACCCGCGCAACCAGGAGCGGCTCGCCCTCAAGCCGTCGCGCGTCAGCATCGACCAGGACAAGCGCCCCCCATCCCCTGGCAGGATCACCGCAAAAGCCAGCTCGTGGGCTCCCCGTCGGAAGCCCTCGTCCGCCACGCCGCAGCAGGCGTCGACGTCCACGCTTTCCGCCTGGTTGTCGCCCGCCAGCGCTGTGACGCGCTCAGCCAGCGCCTCGCCGATCTCCTGCGACACGGCTGCCGCAGCTTGAGAGGTCGAGGCCATATAACCAACGTTATCGGCGGTTACCTCGGGTCGTAAAATAAAGAAAAAAGAAACCCAGGTGACCGACCGCACTCCAAGTGCTCCAAGTCGCATCTACTGTGAGATGGGTAAAAGCAACAGGTCCCCGCCCGCGCGATGTTTGTGCAGGGTTCTTTGTGGGTGTGATCGGCGACTAGCCGGGGTCGTCCTCCCGATGGGGGACTAGCACTAGCCGTCTTCCACATGGTCCCTCGGTCGTAGTGGGGTGCTCCAGCCCGCCGACCACAAAGTGCGCACCGACGTAGTCGCCCGCCGCGACGCCGCCCTCCGCCACCGCCGCGTGCGTCGCACCTAACGCCGACGCCGCCAGGCTGAGCGGCGGCGGCGCACTCGCGCTCACCGCCTCGCTGTGGTGCGCCGCGCCGCCGCGGGCGGGCGGCGCCGCCTTGCCCACCGGCTTGCCGTCAGCGGCTGCACTCGCGCGGCGCGTGGTGCCCGTGCTGCCGTCAGCGGCGGCGGCGGCGGAGCGCGCGAGGCACGCCTTGCGCTTGACGCCCGGCCCGCCGAAGCGCGGCTTGTCGACGCAGTGCGCGCACACGCCGCAGTCGTCGACGGCGGCGGGCGCTGGCCGCCTGGTGGCCGTGCTGCCGTCAGCGGCGGCGGGCGCTGGCCGCCTGGCGGCCGTGCTGCCGTCAGCGGCGGCGGGCGCTGGCCGCCTGGCGGCCGTGCTGCCGTCAGCGGCGGCGGCGGCGGAGCGCGCGAGGCACGCCTTGCGCTTGACGCCCGGCCCGCCGAAGCGCGGCTTGTCGACGCAGTGCGCGCACACGCCGCAGTCGTCGACGGCGGCGGGCGCTGGCCGCCTGGCGCCCGCCGGCGCCGCTGCCGCGGCGAAGAGGCCCTTCACCGGCGTGGGCCCGCGCTCCACCTCCGCGCCGCGTGCCGACGTCGGCTCGAGCGACGGTGGCGGCGGAGCGGCGGCGGCGGCAGCGGCCAGAGGGCTCGCGGCCCGCTGTCGCTTGGCAGCTGCCGCCGCCTCCTTGGGCGCGGGCGAGGCCGCCCTCTTCGCCGCCGGTGCGGGCTCGCACGCGGCGCAGTACCACTCGCCGTCGGGCACGCGTGCGAGCGGCGCGGCGAGGCAGTACGTGTGGTACGCGCCGTCGCAGCCGTCGCCGTCGCAGAGCAGCATCAGCTCATCGTCCTCGCCAGAGCCGCACGCGAGACAGACGATCGAGTCGGCGCCCTCGTAATGGTCAACGCCCTCGGCGGCGTCAGCGATCGCCTCGGCCGTCGCGCGGGTGGGCCACACTTCGGCGTGCGCGGCGGCGGTGAGGTCGACGCACACCTTCGGCCGCGCACCGACGAGGAGGGTGGTGGTGGTGGTGGCGGGGTGGTGGTGGCGGTGACGAGCATGGTGGTAGTGGTGAAGAGAGGGTAGTGGTGAAGAGAGGGTGGTGGTGAAGACAGGGTTCTTTTTTTTTCGCTTGCCTGCGCGGCGAGGTAGGCCTGCACCTCCGACCGGCTCACGCGCTCCGGCTCCGCCGCCTGCTCCGCCGCCGCCTGCTCCGCCGCCGCCGCCGCCACCGCCGCGCGGTCGGGCACCCACTGCGCGTCACACCCTCCAGCCGCGCGCGGCTTTGCACAACGCCACCAGCCGCCGGCAGCGAGCGCGTCGCGGCGCACCCACGTGCACGCCCTCCCGCACTCGCACAGCGGCGTGCGCGGCAGCGGCGGCGGCCGCTCCTCGAAATCGCAGCCGCCGCCGCCGAAGCCGCTGCCGTTGCCGCTGCGCGCGCCGCCGACGTCGTCGTCGTCGTCGCTCGCGGCGGCGGCGCACCACCAGCGGCCGCGCAGCCACGTCGCCGGCAGGCGGCACAAGCACAGTGGTGGCGGCGCGGGCGGCGCGCGCACCGACGGCACCGAGAGCGGCGGCAGCTCCGCCTGGTACGCCTCGCCGAGCCTTGGCTTGGCGGCTGCGCCGCCGCTCGGCGACGCGGCGCTCTCCGTGGGCACCACGAGCCACGCCGAGCCGCCGCCGCCCACCACCAAGCCGGCCGCGGCGCGCGCCGCCGCGCGGCTGCCGAAGACGGCGCCGCTCGGCGAAAGGTAGCGGTAGTGCGCGCCGCCGCGCTCGGCCACGCGCCAGCCGAGCGCCGCCGCGCCGCGGAAGAGCGCTCCGTCGACGCGCGCCTCCGGCCACATCGCCGCACCACCACCACCACCCTCCGGCCGCCCGCCGCGCGGCCTGGTGGACGCGGACGCGGAGGACGCGGAGGCCGCGGAGGCCGCGGAGGCCGCCTCCGCCGCCGCCGCCGTTGCTGTCGTCGCTGGCGGCCGCGGCGGCGGCGGCGGCGGCGGCGGCGGCGGCTCGAGGCTGATTGCGTGCGCGTGCAGGTGCTGCCGGCGGTCGGGCGGTAGCGCGGCGGAGTGCGCCTTGCCGCCGAGCGTGGCGACGAGCTCGACGAGGAAGCGCGGCGAGCGCGCGCGCACGCCGAGCAGCCGCGCGCGGTAGCACGCGCCGTCGCCCGCGAACGCGAAGCACTCGCTGCGCCCCTCCTCCACGCGGCGCAGCAGCGCGGCCTCGTGCGCCGCGTCGTCCACACCGCCGCCGCCACCCGCGCGTCCGCCGCCACCACGCGCGGAGGCGTCGGCGAAGCGCGGCTGCTCCACCGCGACGAGCCCGAGCTTGCGCTTTACGGCCGGCAGCGAGAAGAGCTTCTCGCCGTCCCGCGGGTCGATCATCACCAGGTCTCCCCGAATTGAGTGGCCCCTCTTCTTGTTCGCCTTGCTGCCCTCCCCAGTGGACGGCTTGCGCAGCACGTACGAGATCGTCCAGCCGTGACACGAGATCGTCCGAGTCTCCAGTGCGCTCCTCAGCTGCTCGATGGCCACGATGAGCGTCTCCGCCTCCTCGGCGGTGAGAGGCGGGACACGGTCGTCGGCGCTCGCGGAGCTGGTGCTGCGAGGACTGAGAGGAGTGGGCACGACAGCAGCGCTCAGGGTCGGTGCTGGTTCGTCCAGGGAAGCAGCTCCTTCTCTCCCGAGGCAGCCCTCTGGCAGCGACTCGGCAACAGCAAGCTTGACGCCCACCGGCTGCTCCCCAGCAAGGCCGTCTGGCACACCGTCTCCGGTCAGCAGCTCAGGGCATTCGCGAACGAGATTGAGCTCGTCGGTGCCACTGCTGGCTGCCTCCTGCAGCCTATTGCCATCGTCCATGCCGTAAGCCTGCCAGAACACAAGCCAGAGGAGAGCGAGAGTATCTAAACAAAAGAACTCGAATCCAACAAGTTGAGGGCGGGCCACTACTCCCATAATGTGGGTAAACCATAGTAGCGTGCACGCTTCTATGAACAGAGAAGCCCATAAAAAGTCGCCGGCAGTCGCCACGCCGAGCCGGCCTGCTGCCGGCTCGCACGGCAGCCTCTTCCTCTCGACCAGCGTAGAGGGCCTCGTGTAGCCCTCCTTTTGGTATATTATAAACTTAGAAGGAACTTAGCGCGTGTCAAGCGTCTCACCTTATCGGCTGCTCGCCTTGCTGTCGGCAGTGGATCGCGAGAGCGAGAGATTGACACCGTTCCCTAGCTCAGACATTAGCTCGCCCGACTTACGATGCGCTCGTGGTTCAAAGAGAATTCAAAGAGAAAGTGATTCGCCACAAGCGCGACAAGAACGCTGGCCAGTGTTTCATCGCTGCTCGCGGCAAGCAAGTGGAAGGAGAGTGTCCGACGCGGCCTACTTCACTGCCATCGTCGCCATCATCACTACGAGGTCCATCACCGTCCGGCCTCTTGGAGTTCGCTGCTGAGCTCGGCAGCGAAGCTCTTGCCCAGAGAGTTGTCCGCACGACCTCGCTGCACGACCTCGCCGTCCAAGAGGTGCTGGTCGCACTCGAGACGCTGCTGCGCGAGGTGGCGTCGCCAGCATCGCTCCCGATAACGCCGCATGTGCATCGGCTGCCAAGTGGGGACCGCGGAGTCTCGCTCGCCTTTCTGCAAGCAGTCCACGCCTTCTACTCGCAGCACAGCGGGCTTAGCCTGACAATGGAAGGTGTGTGCAAGGGGTCGGGCGAGCACGTCACGGTGTGCACGCTTACGCTTTCGACCGGACTCTCCCTTGCCGAGAGCGTCGCGCACATCGCGGAGCGCGACGGCCTCCACCTCGCGCGCCGTGCGGTCTCGCGCGCCCGTGGCTTCTTCTCCTACTCATGGACTGGCACTGCGCTCGCGGACATGCTCGCCGCCATCGATGACGTCGTGCGGCCGCTCGAGGAGGAGAGCGGAGGGCGACACGTGTGGGTCGATATGTTCTGCGCCTCGCAGAACCTGCTGGCGGGCGTGTACCGGTCCCCATCCATCACAAAGGAGTCGGACCCGGTCGGCTACCTCGCGCGCAAGGAGGACACCGACCGCATCTTTGACGACGCTCTCGAGGCGGTGAGCGAGGTCTACTTTTACTGCTCGCCGCTGGTCGGCGAGTGGCACGCGCCGCCGCACCCTTTCCTGAGCCCGCAGCGAGAGGCCAAGGGGGCGCCGGCGCAGCCGTGGGTGCGGCGGGGCGCGGCCGCCATCACGCGAGCTTGGTGCCTGTTTGAGCTGTCACACGCGCTAAGGAAGGGCTGCAAGCTCCACGTGGCACTCAGTCCCGCTGACCGCACTCACTTCGTTGAGATGCTGACCTACAAGTTTGACGAGATTGCTGGGATCGTTGCCTCGATCGACGCGGATGACGCGCAGATCTCAAAGGTGGAGGACCGCAGGTACATCCTTGGCTGCATCGAGTCGCTCGCGCCCGGTGCGGCGAACGCGGAGGCGGAGGGCCTGAGCCTCGTGACGGCGCGTGTGTCGGAGGCGCTTCGCGGCTGGCTGGTGGCGTCGGCGCGGGAGGAACTCGCTAGTCTGAAGCCGGCGGAGAGGGCGACGTCGGCGCTTCTCACTTCCGTGGGTCGGCTGCTGCAAAGCCAAGGCGACCGGCATGCCGCAGAGGCGCTGCTCCGCGAGGCGCTGGAGGGGAGGCGTGTGGCGCTCGGTGACCGGCACCCGGACACACTCGCCTCGATGAACGACCTCGGTTTTGTGTTGCTTGAGCTGTGCGATTATGACGGTGCGGAGGCGCTATGCCACGAGGCACTGCAGGGGAGGCGAGAAACGCTCGGCGACAGGCATAGGGACACGCTCACGTCGGTTTGGCGCCTTGGACAGCTGCAGATGGTGAGAGGTGGCGATTCCTCGGAGGCGCTACTCCGCGAGGCCGTGGAGGGGATGCATCAGTTGGGAGAGACGTGGCATTCGGATGCGCTCGAGGCCGTCAACGACCTCGGCCAGGTGCTGAAGGCCAAGGGCGACCTCGACGGCGCGGAGGTGCTGCTTCGCAAGGCGCTCGAGGGGAGCCGAGAGACGCTCGGCGATCGGCACCCGCGCACTCTTGAGTCGATGCTTACCCTCGGCTCGCTGCTGGAGGAGAAGGGCGACCTGGACGGCGCGGAGGCGCTGCTTCGCGAGGCGTTGGAGGGGCGGCGAGAGACGCTCGGCGACCGGCACCCGAGCACGCTCGCCTCGATCGGCAGCCTCGGCTCGCTGCTGCAGGACCAGGGCGACATGGACGGCGCGGAGGCGCTGCTTCGCGAGGCGCTAGAGGGGAACCGAGAGACGCTCGGCGACCGGCACCCAAACACGCTCATCTTGATCTTCCGCCTCGGCTCGCTGCTGGAGGAGAAGGGTGACCTGAACGGCGCGGAGGCACTGCTTCGCGAGGCGCTGGAGGCGTGCCGAGAGACGCTCGGCGACCGGCACGAGAACACGCTCGGCTCGATCAACAACCTGGGCGGGCTGCTGAAGGCCAAGGGCGACCTGGACGGAGCGGAGGCGTTGCTTCGAGAGGATCTGGAGGGATGCCGAGAGACGCTCGGAGACAGGCACGAGAGCACGCTCGGCTCGATCATGGGCCTCGGCTCGCTGCTAGAGAAGAAGGGCGACCTGGCAGGCGCGGAGGCGCTGTATCGCGAGGCGTTGGAGGGGCGGCGAGAGACGCTCGGCGACCGGCACCCGGACACGCTCATCTCGTTCAGCAACCTGGGCTCGCTGCTGCAGGACCAGGGTGGCCTGGACGGCGCGGAGCCGCTGCTTCGCCAGGCGCTGGAGGGGAACCGAGAGACGCTCGGCGACCGGCACCCGGACACGCTCATCTCGATCTTCCGCCTCGGCTCGCTGCTGGAGGAGAAGGGCGACCTGAACGGCGCGCAGGCGCTTCTTCGAGAGTCGGTGGAGGCGCATCGAGAGACGTTTGGTAGCCGGCACGAGGGCACGCTCGCCTCCGAGGCTAAGGCGGCAAGCATCGATATCGCCCTTGGCGCCGCCGACGCAAACGCCCTGCGCGATGTTGTCGCGCGCATGGCGGCAGCGCTGGGTGCCGAGCACCGTCAAACGCGCAAGTACGCTGCGCTCCTGCGGCAGCCTGACGCCAAAAGCGGGCGCGTCAGTGGGCGAGCTCCTAGGCGCATGGCAGTGGCGACGTGGCGTCAGTGGGCGGGTCGGTGGCGTGCGGGCACGCGAGGAGCTCCTTCGAGAGTAAACAAGTAAGTTAGTTGCCTCTGCTGTGATGTGTTGATGTATGCGTTCTTGGACTTGTTTCGTTGTTTGTCTACTCTTCCTTTGAATTATAGACGGAAAAAGGAAGCAATAGGATGCCCAAGCGCTCCTCCGAAAAAGAAAGAAGAAAAAGAAAGAAAACACGACAACAACCTAGCTAAAGAAACCCGCACGGTCAAATCCGCTTTTTTGAGCCCGGTTCCACACCAGTGCCCCGTCGACACACGGGTGCACTTTAGGTGATCGGCAGCCCCAGAGGAGTGGAAACTGATCCCCGGCGGGCCCTTCGCGACCGACGCGCGCGGCAGACGGCTTCGGATAGACATCGGCTCGGCTCCTAGCGGCTCGCAGAAGCAGCGCGGTCGCTCTCTCTCCGTCACGCCGTTGCGCGGTTGACGCTTTTTCGGCGCTCGCGGCGGGGCGGCAAAGCTGACTTTGAGGCCAATCAAGCCGGCCAAGGCCCCCACGGCGACGGCGCAGACACCACTCATGGCGCCGGTGGCCTCGGAGGCGGCGGAGATGGCGAGGTGTGCGCACATTTTGACGGGTGCGCCAGGCAGTGCTGGCGAGGCGCCCGCCGTTGACTGAACACCTTCTCGCGCGGCACGAGCGGCGCGCGGCGCTGCTGACGGGAGGAGGCAGTCACGGCCCGGACGGGTGCTGGCCGGTGGTCATCAGACCCGCGCGCAGTTCGGGACTGAACACCTCTCGAGGCGCGGCGCTGCAGCTGCAAAGTGATTGGTGTGCATCCGGCAGAGCCGGCGCGCTACGGCTTGCGCCCGTTGTCCAGACGCGCCGTGCCGCGCTCGCGCGCTCGCCGGATCAGCGCGTGCGGCAGGAACGATGCCGGTGTGCCAGTGTGCCGGTGTCGCATGCGGTGTGCCAGCGCGCCGGGTCCAGCGGACAGCAAGTTGTGTGTGGAGCGGGCGCGCGGTGGCCGTGGCGAATGTGAGCCGGCGCCACTCGCAGCCTGGTGTCGAGGCGCACTGCCTACTGCCCGTCGACTCAGCCGTGCGGCGGGGTATCCGTTTCTGTGAGTCGGTGGTGGTGCGCTTGGCGCGCATAGTGTGCGTGGGGTCTGTGTGCGTGTGCCACTCGCTCGCTGCTGCTGGATGCAACGGTTTCCCGTCGTAGTGTGTTGGGCGGCCCGTCGTAGTGTGTTTGGGTTGCTGAAAAGGAAAAGGCGAAATCAAAAGAGCGCTGCGTGACTCTGACTGTGAAAGCGTGGGTCCTCCGACGAGATCCGAAAGTTGATCGCCGATTAGGGTGTGTGTGTGTGCGAGGCTTGTCGTCGGCGTGACAGCGACACGATCATGCTTCATCCCGGGCCGCCGATGGCCGATAAGGTTGCCCTAGGGTGGGAGGGCCCTGCGCGCGTCGTCACGCGGTGCTCAAACGCCTCGCGGCGGTGCTGGCACGCAGCCCGCTGCCACGGTGCAATATGCACAAGCCGGCTCGCGCGGCCGCGATGCTGTTCTCACGCCGCGCGATTGGCAGCAATCGGCAGCGCGAGTGTCAACGCGCAGCATAGCCTCGGCAGTGGCGGTGATGGCGCAGCAGGCGCAGCAGCAAAGGCCATGCCCAGCTCCCTCTGCGCCACCGGAGCGTAGTGCGGGTGTGCGCGATGCCATCCCCGTGGGCGTCATCAACTGTGCGCTGGTGGCGAGCCTCTGTGGTCCTCAAATGGCCCTTCTGGCGCTTCGATGCCGCTGCAGCCGCGGCGCAGCTCGACGCGCACGGGCAGCTGTGCTCTCACAGTATGCCATTGCTACACACAGCCTATGGGAGGGTGCACACTTTTACCGGATCCCGCCGGGATCCCATGCTGGTGTGCGATGCTGTTCGGAGTGCCACTCGGTGGTAGCTGCGACGCGAGCGCTGCTGGGTGTGCCAGAGGCCAGCGCAGCATCCTAAGATCGAGCCACACCAGTGGCCCTGTCACGCCGGGCGGAGAGGGCCGCGTTTGAAGCAGCACAGGGAGCCGCACACTTTTACTTCGCACGTAAAAGTGTGCACACACCGGTGTGCAAGCAGGATAGCCCACACAGCGTGGGTCGGGCCCAAGTGAAGGGCTAGCCTGTGGAGAGCTCAATGCACACACTACTGCCTGGGCCGTATCCACTAGACAGGCCACATAAGGCGAACGGCGTGCGCACATGGGGCACCCGAGATCAACCAGTAGTGTGCGCGTGCGTGCAGGCCGGGTAGGGCTCCTCTAGAATCGGCGCACGAGAAGGGCGGGAGTACCACCTTTCTCGCCCGCTCAAAGCGCGCCTGGCCGTTGCGAAGCGAGCGCCGGAGACCCGCGAGGCGAGACGCGGAGCGGGGGCCCATGTCGGGGCAGCGCGTGTGCGCGTCCCGCTCACGGCTCAGGCGCCAATCCGACAGCATGACCCACGCCTAGCTTGAGAGCAATGCAGATTATGCCCACTCGCAGTCCATCATAACGGGCCTCTTATGTTCACCCGACAACCTTCCGAAGCGAGAGCTGGCAATGCGCCGTCCGGGCTTGTGCGCCTAGGCCAAGGCGCGGCAGTACAGCCGACTATCGGCGGTTTGGACTGGCTCTCGTCAGCTGCACGCGCGCCCGGGTTGAAGCGGGATGGAGTGGTGACACCGGGCGGTGCGTCAGGCTACCCGACGACGTTGGAGTCACTGTCACACGTCGCGGACAGCCTGCACACACGGCGGGGCCGGTGCGAAACGGGTGAAAAAGAGACTTTGCGGATTTCAACCGACTATGCGGGGTTTCTACTACCCAACCAGTCGGTAGCACGTCTGGCGCGAACGGCTACGGCCTTGCTCTCCACGACCACGGTCTCGTATGAACCTCGGTTGGTCAGGAGCCATCTCCATGTCCCCCGCTACTGTAGGTGGGCGCCGCTCGCGCACACCCACTCACCCAGTTGCAACAATCAACTCTAGACCCCGTCAACTCAGAGTGTCAACCACGACTCCCGACACGGGAACACTGCACCTCATTCAGCCACAGACGCCGCAGCCGCCGGGCGTGTCCTCTGAGCTCTGTCCTGACTTGACACGCGGCGACGGCGACTGAGCAGCCTGCGAGCTCACTGCCCTGCCTTGATTCCTTCGGACCACTAAACCGCTCTACCTCGGCAGCAGAAGTGGGGCTGGAGCGGGTGGGGGTGGATGCCGATTGAGGGGGAGCGTCTCCAGCTGCGCCCTGTGGCAGCTGCGCCCTGTGGCAGCTAGTCGAGGGACTTGGTAGTTGTGACCCCCCTGAGTGAGCGTTTTGTGGTGTTTGTTGGTGTACGCAATAACGGGACAGGGTGGTTGTTCTCTCTATCTCCTCTTCTAGCTCTTAGCATGAGCTGCGCCCTGTGTCCGACCCCTTTTGCGCAGCAACACCTTAAACTTTTAGGCCCTCCAAATTCGGGTCGGAGCGTAGCGGAGTGGGCCCCGAGTTTGAAAAGGGCGACGGACGCTTGCGTCCTAGCCTCCAACATCGCCTCCCCGGCGCAGAGGGGCCCCCGGAGGGATGCACAACCGCTCCACGCCACGCCGCTTGCGGCGGTCTTCGTTATTTTTGGCGGTAGCTATCTCCCCGGCCCGCGCCACCGATTGTAGTGTATTACGAGGAGAAAGAAGCCATGCCGATCGACGTCGTTCTTCGCAGCGTGCCTCTCCACCTCACCGACGCCCAGCTGTGTGCTCTCCTCGGCGTCGAGACGGTCACCCGCTTCCGGCGCACGTCCGGCCCGTCCGAGAAGCAAAATCCTCTCCACCTCGTGCGGGCGTGCTGCCGAAGCGAGAGTCAGGCGGAGCAGCTTCTGCTGCAGGGTCGCGTGAGTCTTGATGGGCAGGAGTGCGCCGTGGAGCGACCAAAGGCGGCCTCAGACAGCTCCGCCGCCACCGGCAAGCGGCCGGCGACGACGACGCTCGAGGCTCTGCTCGAGAGCTTCCCTCGCGTGGGAGAGGCTGTCCTCGTGCCGGCCGCGGCGGGAGGCGAGGCGGACGGTGGAGAGGAGGGAGGAGCAGCGGAGCGAGGCATGGCGGTAGGAGAGGCGGCGGAAGACGGCGAGAGCAGCTCCACTCCGGACACCTCTACTACTCTCTCCTCTGCTCCTCTCTCCTCTTCTCCTCCCGGCAGCTACTGCTGCTGCCGAGAGACGGATGGGTACCGTCGGGCAGCGGCGAGCAGCCTCCGCCCGGACGACCTCGTCCTCGAGATCGGCAGTGACCGCGGCGCGACGTGCGCCACCGCCGCGGAGATCTGCGGCGGCGAGGCGGTGGTCGGCGTTGACCTGAGCGACACCTCGGTCGAGGCGGCGAGGGCGGCGCACCCGTCGATACGCTTCGAGAAGGTCTCGACGCGCTGCAGCAGCCCGCCCCGAGATTGACCGAGCTCGAGCGAGACTCACCGAGATTGTGGGCTTGTTGGCGAGCCAAAATGGTGCCGTCCTCCCGTCCCTCAGGCCCGTTTTCTTTATTTCTTTGTTTAGAACGACGGATCGACAGGGCCGAGATGCGCCAGAGCCAAGTCAACCTCGCACTCGTCGCCAGGGGCTGGGCGCACAGAGTCCCAACCGTCTCGGTCTTCGCTCACTGCCCGCCTGGCGCCCACGCCTCGATCTTCTTGGGCAGCAGCTGGTTCGACAAGTCCTCTCCGTGCCCTAGGCAGCCGTGGCCGCCCTGACCCCAGGTGAAGACGGCGCCGTCGGCGGTGCGGGCGGTGCTGTGGAATGCTCCAGCCGACACAGCGACGACGCGCCGGCCAGCAAAAGTCTCGACCTTCTTCGGCAGCAGCTGGTCCTGCTCGTCACCGTGGCCCAACGGACCAAAGCCTCCACAGCCGCAGCTCCAGACAGCACCGTCGGCGGTGATGGCGAGGCTGTGCAGACCTCCAGCCGACACAGCGACGACGCGCTGGCCAGCAAAAGCCTCGACCTTCTTTGGTAGGAGCTTGCGTTGCTCGTCGCCGTGGCCCAGCCGGCCAAAGCCTCCATCACCCCAGCTCCAGACAGCGCCGTCGGTGGTGATTGCGAGGCTGTGGCTGCTTCCAGCCAGCACAGCGATCACGCGCCGCCCGGCAAAGGCCTCGATCTTCGTTGGCAGCGGCTGCCACTGCTCGTCGCCGTGGCCCAGCTGGCCAAAGGCTCCACCGCCCCAGCTCCAGACAGCTCCGTCGGCGGTGAGGGCGAGACTGTGGCTGCTTCCAGCCGACACGGCGACGACGCGCCTTCCCGCCAAGGCCTCGATCTTTGTGGGCAGCTCCTGTTCGGCGACGAGCTCGTCGCTGTGGCCCAACCGGCCAGCGTCTCCCCAGCCCCAGCTCCAAACACTGCCGTCCGCGGTGAGGGCGAGGCTGTGGCTACCTCCAGCAGATACAGCGATGACGCGCTGGCCCGCAAAGGCCTCGATCTTCTTGGGCTGCCACTGGCTCTGCTCGTCGCCGTGGCCCAGCCCGCCCAAGCCTCCATAGCCCCAGCTCCAGACAGCTCCGTCGGCGGTGAGGGCGAGGCTGTAAGAATCTCCAGCCGACACGGCGACGATGCTCTCGCCACCCAGCGTAGGGAGGCGGGTCGGCGTATTCAGCCGCAGCACGCCCTCACCGTGACCGAGAAGGCCTGGAAAGTCCTCCGCGTCGTACTCGTCGTCCTCCTCGCCCTGTGCTGCCATGCCGCACGACGAGAGCCGCCCCTCGCCGTCGATAAAAAGGCTGTGCTGCCAGCCTGACGCCGCCCTCGCTGGCAAGTTGGACTCGCGCAGCAGCGCCGACAAGCACAGCCACCGCACGGCGCATCCCTCGCCCTCTGGCAGCGCCGGCAGCTCGAAGCCGCGCTCTTGCGCCCACAAGCGGATGGCCTCCACCGCAAGCGAGGCGTGAAAGAGCAGCGAGACGGCCGCGACGCGAGCGATATCGGTGGGGTCGCAGTGAGAGAGGGCGCGCACGAGGAGCTCCGTGGGGAGGTCGAGGAGGCGGGCGGGCGGCGGCGTGTCTGGCGAGGGAGCGGCGGTGGAGGCGGTGGCGAGGCGGCGCGAGCGGCGGCGCGGTGGGGCAGACATCGCGAGAAAAAGAATCTGAAAGGACGAAAAAGAATTTTACAACGAACAGCCTCGCACAACACTGGGCACAGGAAGGTTGAAGCGAGAATCGGAGAGAGACCGCGAAGAGAGATAGGAAGAGGCAGACCCCCTAGGGTAGGCGACGGCTAGCGCATCACACTCCTCTCCTTAAAATCCCTGTGTGGTGGCGGCGTGCCGTTCTCCCATCCCTCCCTTGGGTTGTCTGTTTTCTTTCTTTCTTTACTGGGCACAGGACTAGAATCTTGGTGACACAGTTTTTCTTTCACGAGGTGTATTCGCCTGCCAGCAGGAAAGGAAAAGGACGTCGCGGGACGAGGCAGACGAGAGCGACGCGGCAGAGGAGGAAGCGACAGGAGGGAGAACGACGAGAGTGGGACGACCGCGAGGCGGCATGAAGGTTGCAGCGGGGGTCCCGACCCCCCCTCCCTGGAAGCGATGTGCGCCTGCTCCAGTGTCGTGCGAAAAAAGGAAATTCCCCCAACCAAACACTCGCAAAAAGAAAAGGGGAAAATCAACCTCGCAGGCCCGACACACAGGTGCCGCGATATAAAATGATTATCACGGGCAAGACGATATAAAATAATCATTACCAAAATGATTACCAGCAACACTCCCAGATGGTTCTCCTGCACATCACACCCCGACACAATCATGTTGAACCATAAATGTGACAAACAAAACATCTAAATGTGCCCGACTCGATCCTCTTCCGCTCTTGAGAGGCACATTAGGGACTCCGTCTCCCGGTCGTGTGCCGCCACGGCCAGCCAGCACAGGACAGCCGCTTTTGTGTTTTGACGCACCCTGAATTACGAGAAACTCAAACGAGCCTCAAGTGAAGAGGTCCTCACCTAGGTCCTCACGCCAAGAGGTCCTCTCCAAGAGAGGTCCTCCTAGAGGTCCTCACGCCAAGAGGTCCTCACGGCGCAGTGGATTATCCGTCGCAGAATGGTTGCGCGCCCCTACGCCGCCCCGCCGCGCGTCGCGACGGCCGGCGGCACGCCTTTGTTTCCTCTCGATCCTCCCTCCCCCCCCTCTGTCCCGTGTCAGAGGCAGCGCTTCGTTCGAAGGAGCCAAAGCCCAGTTGTTCAACTTGTTCGAGCAACCTGTGTCCTGTGAGAGGCAGAGTAGAGAGAGATAGGAGGATAAATTGGTGGTGAATGTGCAGCATGGTCGCTTGCAAAGCCATAGCCCAGTGGTACTCCGAGTGTATTGGTTTCTCTCACAGTCCCGTGCGTGCCCAGTGTCGTGCGAGGGAGCTTTGTTGTAAAATTATCTCACTCCTCACCACAAATGCTCCCTACTGACAAGTCAGAAGCTAATGGCAAAGAGGTCGACCGCCAGGATATCCCCACCTCAGATAAAGGACGGCGTGTGAGTGAGTGAGTATTCTTATACGAAGGGGGCGGGCAGCAGAGCGGGCGTATGGCGAGGAGGGGGATGGGAAGCGCCGAGGCGAGGGCGAGGCACCAGCCGAGGGCGACGGCGTACGGCGGGAAGTGGACCTTTGACGTCGCGGTGGAGACGAACGCCTGCACGGTGAGCACGACTTCAACCCTCGTAGTGTGTACCGCGAGCAGACACGCGGTGCGTGTACCAAAGATAGTGGGCCATTTTGAAGGGTTGAAATAGGCCTTCCTCCGGTGGGTCGCCCGGGCGCTGCGCGGCACGCCCGGCGGGGTCGTTGACGTGTGAAGTCCGTTACACACACCGCGATGTGTGTGCGAGATGTGTCCGATCACCGTGTGCATGTACATATGACCGGCAGATTAGCCGAGATATATATGTCTTTTGATGTGTCACTGTGTACCTCATGTCAGTCTTGATAACAAGTACGGTCGATCCGTCAAAGCGATACACTCGTCACGATCACGTTGGACGGCTTGCACGGAGCTCTGTGCCGGCACGCACAGGAAGAGCCGTATGGCAAGAAGAGCTCGATGGGGAGCGAGAACCGTCAGAGGAGGTTTAGGTGGAACCTGACTCCTCCGTGACGCGCTCAATCGCTCCCAAGCGGGTGGCTCTCGAAAATCGTCGATATCTTCCGAAAAGACTGCTCTTGCCGCAGAGCAGCCGACGCGATGCAGACGGAGGCGCAGAAAGGCTACGAGTACTCAACGAGTTCCGCGACCTACGCAGTCAAACCTGGGGGGACTGATCGCATCAAGGCGGACTTCCGAAACCTCCGTTAGCACCTTTGGCGATTCTCGCTCCCCATCGAGCTCTTCTTGCCGTCGGCTCTTCCTGTGTGCCGGCACAGAGCTCCGTGCAAGCCGTCCAACGTGATCGTGACGAGTGTATCGCTTTGACGGATCGACCGTACTTGTTATCAAGACTGACATGACGTACACAGTGACACATCAAACGACACATGCTCTCCCACCCGCCGGGCCGCAAAACGCTCTCGACGAGAGCCACAAGAAGGCGTCCGCACAGCAAGCCGCTCCTCGGAGAGGCGAGCTCGCTCGATGTCGGCGAGCGCATTGCGCACGCTTTGGACGGTGGCGAAGCCAAAAACACAGATGGTGGCCGTCCGCTGGCGACACTGCGACTTCGTCACTCTCGCGCGAGGGAGTGACGTCAGCGGACAGCGCGCTCCATAAGCAATTAAATCGGTGGCCGTTGCCTCTATGTATCGTATGAGGTATGTGTGCGCGCTCAATGATATCAGCGCCTCATCAGCGCCTTCGACCACCAAGACAGCCTGCCAACAGCGCGACCCTACGCGCAGCCGCGAGAGGCGCGAGCGGTGCGACATACTATACGTCATTGGCCATGACTATCTAGATAGGGTGAACAAAAGATAGGAAGAATTAAATCAGATAAGAAAAAGCAGGGGAAAGTGGAAAGTGATTAATGAGCGAGGCGCAGCCAAAGTTGGAGGCCTGAGCGGGGTAGGGGCCCCGCCAGAGCCGGAAATAGGCGGAGCGAGCGCCAACGGCACTTGGAGCACTTGGAGTGCGATTATTAACCGCACATCCAGGTGTTTTATTGCTCTCCACCTACTCAAAGCAGATCTCGGAGCTGATGCCCTCGGAGGCGGCATCAGCGAGCCTCGGAGGCTTCGAGCAGCTCGTCGACGAGCCCGAGGTTGGCGAGCCGCCCGCTGCGGCGGACAACGCCCTCGCAGAGGAGTCAGACTCTGACTTTGAGCAGAGGGGCGGCTTTTTCTGCCGCACATTCGTTGACGCTGAAACCGAGCGGCGCTTCGACGCCCACCAATTCCGGCAGGCCCTTGTCCTGCAGCTACTGCAGGGCGCCATCATTCAGTTTGGTCCGACTGTTTGCTTTGCAGGCCTCCATTTCTTTCGGCCGTCCGCACACCATGCTGCGACATTTGAGGCGGAATGGCGCGAGCGTGGCGGCTGGGGAGCTCTCGCACTCGACTCGTCGTTTTTCGGCATCCGCCTCGCGGTGCACGCTATGCGTGACCACCAACTCGCGCAGCGAATCTGTTCGTCGATTTGGTGCATCTGCTTTCCTTTGCGAGTCCTTTACGCCACCTTCATCGAGAGGGCTTCCTCAACTGCGCAGCACACCGGAGGATCGACGCTCGTGAGTGAGGAGTCCGGAGTCATCGAGGTGTGGCTGGTGGTCTTTGCACAGTACTTCTGCATCGGCATCGTGCACGGCTCGCTCGGCACCCCGCCCCTTTACCGGTGGCCGGTCGCACTTCTCCTTGCCCTGCTCCTCTGGTATGACACGGGGTTTGAAGCCTCGTGGGGCCAGGCGCAGGAGACGCGCGCTTGGCTAGCGGCCGCGATGGTCGCCGCCTGCATTCTGATGCAGGCTCTCGAGATCAAGCAACGCGACGACTTTGGGCTCGAGGTGTGTGTGCGACATCTCGGCGCTCTCGGCTCCGGCTCAACCCAGTCCCGGCTCCGCCTCTCGGCATTTATCTCGGCTCTGTATCTCTGTTCTGCCCGTCTCGGCTCGAGCTCGAGCTCGGCTCGGCCTCGCGCGTGCCGGCTCACGGGACGCCTTTTTTGCGCCCGAGGCTGCGATGCGCCGTCGCATCGAGCAACTAAGCTGTGAGAAGGAGCGCATGGCGTGGGACTACCTACGGCTTCGGCAACTGGCGCCGTCGGCGAATGGGGGAGCTACCGCACCAAGTGGTGCGGGGGCGGGGGCGCCAGCTGCGCGCACCATCACTCTGGGACAGATGCCGGGGGGGGCGGAGACAGATGCGTCGTGCTCAGAGGGGCGCCCCTTAGGGGCCCTCTGGCCATCCGCACCATCCGGCGCGAGCAGCAGCAACTACACGAACAAGATCGGCGGCGATTGCGCCAGCTCGACCGGAACCCCCTGAGTACGAGCGTCGGGTTAGTGCCAGTGATGGCCCTAGGGAAGATAGAGGAGTGCGCTGTACCCTGAGGGCGCCGTACGTACATTGTAGATCCTGTTAGAGATCCTGTGGCATGGCCATGACGCATGAGACTGTCCCGCTCGCCATATGACTAGTTGCAAATACGGGTGCTGTGAACATGACCACTTTTGATTTTTGTTGTCCGTGTTGCTCCCAGCGCCCCCCCCCGCGCTCCCTGAGGCCATGGCTGGTGCTACTAGTATGGGGGGCTACCACGACGACACACACCAGTCGACTCGCATCGGTTGCCTCCATGAACATAAATAAATAAATACAACGGACATCCCAAGCTAGGGCTGGGTCGAGGACAGACACGTCCCCACCTTTGCAGGATTTTGCAAAAGCGAGGGGCGAGGGCGCATCGCCGCGCGGAGAGGGCTGGGCACAGGGCACAGGGGATCTCTCTCGCATAGGATATGCACTCGGCGGCACGAGGGCAAGGCTGGGCGTCCTATGTTTGTGCTCCCCCCCGGACCCCTCGCTCTCGGGCACTAACCATCTGACCACTCATCGACGGGGCTTGGCGAGCGGCCGCGCTGCGGGGCAGGGCTGGTGAGAATGGGCTCTGGCCACTCGCCCGTGCGGTTGTAACCCCGCATCTGTCGGACAGAGGCCTCGACCGCCCCTCGCGGCAAGCTCTCGAGCATCTCGAGCAGCTCGCCCGCCGCCATCGCCGCCTCAAACTGCTCCCTCATGCCGAGCGCGCCGCATACCCTGCGGACCGCCTCCTGCTGCACCTCGTCCGGCGTATCGGTTTCATAGCCGGACGAGTCAGCGGAGGCGGCCCGCTTGGCGGGCGGAGAGTCGGGCGACGGCGAGCGCGACTGGCGCGAGGGCCCGCTGCCGCGCGCGGACAGCGCGTTCTTGTCAACGAGACGGGGTCCAGCATCGGCACGGCCCCTGGCACCGCGGCCCTTGCCGCGCTGCTGCTGCCCACGCTTCCTGCCCGGGTTAGGGACAGTGAAGGAGCAGCCGCGCACTCCGCCGCCGCTGGGCGGCGGCGGCACGCGCGCGGCGGCGGCCGGGCCCGCAGGCGCGGCGGGCTGGCCACCCGCGGTGGCACCCTGCGGCTGCGATGCGGCTGCGGCGGCGTACGTCTTGGGCGCCGGCTCCGCGGCTGGCGGCGCGGCGGCAGGGGCGGGCGGCGCCGCAGGGCTCGCGCTCGCAGGCGGCTCCGTGGCCTGCGCCTGCCGCTCCTGGCGCACAGCGCGCTCGAGCTGCGAGTGCGGGTGCAGCTGTACGATGACGTCGCCGCTCTGCGTCGCGGTGAAGGAGACCGAGTACGGCGCTTCGCCGTCGTTCTTCTTCTCCGCGTAGACGAGCGCGTAGTCGCACACCTGAACGCCATGCGTCAGGCGCTGTTTGAATTGCCTGTCTGAACGGCGGAGCTATTCACAGGGACATTTTTCTTTTTTTCGTCTCCGCTCGCTTCGCCGTTTGGTGGTTGCTCTGCCTGAGAGAGATGTGTACCCGGCTGATGCGCGGCTTCGTCGTCGACGGTGCCTCTGGCTCCGTCATGGACGTGCCCGTGCCGGAGCCCGCCGAAGGCGAGGCTCTGGTGCGTGTGCTCGTCGCCGCGGTCTGCGCGACCGATATCGAGATCATGAAGGGATACATGGGCTTCAAAGGCCTCGCCCGCCATCGCCGTCGCCGCCGACATCAGCGCAGCGTTCACGCCTCGCCTCCTCCGCCCGCCGTCAGGCATCGTTGGCCACGAGTTTGTCGGCGTCGTCGAGACGGCGCCCGCCTCGCACGCCCACCTCGTCGGCAAGCGCGTCGTCGGCGACATCAACCTCTGCTGCTGGGACGCGGCGTCGTGCGGCACGTGCGCCGTCGGCGGCGCGCGGGCGCGCAACCACTGCCCCAAGAGGACCGTGCTTGGCATCCTCAACAAGGACGGGACCTACTGCGAGCGGCTCACCCTCCCCGTCGTCAACCTTCACGCCGTGCCGGACGGCGTCTCGACGGAGAACGCGGCGTTCGCCGAGCCGCTCGCCGCCGCCTTTCGCATCGCGGAGCAGCGGGTCGTCTCGCCAAAGGACCGCGTGGCAATCATCGGCGACGGCAAGCTCGGGCTGTTGATCGCCGAGGTGCCAGATATGGGGAGATTGGGGAGATACGGGGAGGTATGCGGAGGTATGCGGAGGTATGCGGAGGTATGGGGGAGGTGTGGGGAGATCTGAGGTGGTGCTCGGCCGGCACGTGGCGAGCCTCGCCTCTCAATTCGTTCCTTCATTCGTTCATCAATCAACCCATTGTCAGGTGCATGCACATGCACATGTGCATGTGCATGCACATGTGCATGTGCTCGGCCGGCACAGCGGCTCATTCGTTCCTCAATCCATTGTCAGGTGCTCGGCCGGCACGCGGCGAGCCTCGGCGAGGGCACGCCGAGGCCGGTTCTCTTCGGCAGGCGAGCTTGCGGCGAGATTGCGGCGAGATTGCGGCGAGATTGTGGCGAGATTGTGGCGAGGCAGGCCAGATGCGTCCCAGATTGCAAGCGAGGTCGACACGCGAGAAGGGTACCGCGCGTGGGAGCGCCCGCTGGGCCCTGGGCCGCCCCTCGCCTTCATTTCGGCTATCTCATCGCTGTCTCTCGGCTGTCTCCCCGCAGGCACGCGGCCAAAATGGGGCTGCTGTCGTCTGCGGCGCAGGTCGAGGCCGCCTTCCCCTACCCCCACGGTACCCGAACCCACCCCGCCTACCCCACAACCCACCCACCACTACCCCACTACGGTACCCGAACCCACCCTCCCCTACCCCACGTTACCAGAACACACCCTCCTCTACCCCACGGTACCCGAACCCACCGGCCGTGGCGCAGGTCGAGACTGCCTTCGCCGCATCGGCGCTGCCAGCTCGCGCTGCGAGCTTCGACGTCGTCGTCGACGCGACAGGCGCTCGTCCCCCCTATCCCCACGGTACCCGAACCCACCCTCCCCTACCCCACGATACCCGAACCCACCCTCCCCTACCCCACGGTACCCGAACCCACCGTCGTTGTCGACGCTACCAGCGCTTGTCTCGAGCCGCAGTGATCATAGCGGCCACTCTCCGACCTAGCCTCTGCGTCTCTCGCCACCGCCGGGGGGGGGGGGGGGGTGGGTGCCCGCCCCGCTGTGGCGTGCAGGTTTGGCGCGGGGTGAGAGCAGCGGTGAGATGCGTAGGCCCGCCCACCGGCCTCGACCTGCTGGTGAACCGGGAGCCCTCTCTGAGCCTTCTGCAAATGAAGCAATGAGTAGGCTCGCCCACCGGCCTCGACCTGCTGGTGAACCGGGAGCCCTCTCTGAGCCTTCTGCAAATGAAGCAATGCGTAGGCTCGCCCACCGGCCTCGACCTGGCGCGCTCGCTCTGCCGGCCGCTCGGCGCAGTCGTACTCAAGTCGACGTGTGCCGCAGGAGCCGACTTCAACATCTCGGCCACATCTCGGCTACACTTCGGCAATATCTCGGCGACATCTCGGCCACATCTCGGCCCCATCTCGGCCACATCTCGACTCCTTCTCCGCAGGAGCCGACTTCAACACGGCGCCCTTCGTGGTGGACGAGCCGGTGGTTTCGGCGCTGTGAGGTGGGAGCGGCGTCTCTTCACAGCGTGCAGCCGTGAACAGGTCGACGAGCTGCGCGTGGTCGGCTCGCGCTGCGGCCCCTTCCCGCCCGCGCTCGAGCTGATGGCTGCAGGCGTCGACCCTCACGCCCCTCACCCTCGGCTAACCTCGGCTGACCTCGGCTGCATCTCGGCTGTATCTCGGCTGCATCTCGGCGGTCTCTCGGCTGACCTCGGGGCTGACCTGGGCTGCATCTCGGCTGTATCTCGGCTGCATCTCGGCGGTCTCTCGGCTAACCTCGGGGCTGACCTGGGCTGCATCTCGGCTGTATCTCGGCTGCATCTCGGCGGTCTCTCGGCTGACCTCGGGTCTGACCTCGGCTGCATCTCGGCTGGTATCTCGGCTGCATCTCGGCGGTCTCTCGGCGTGTAGGCCTCGACCTCACGCCCCTCATCTCGGCCACCTACCCGCTCGAGGAGGCGATGGCCGCCGTCGAGAAGGCGCGCACCAAGGGGACGCTCAAGGTGCAGATCCGAGTCTGCAGCGACGAGGCTGCTCCCGAGCTCGACACGTCCTCGTAGATCAGAGAAGGTAAGTAGACAGTGCAGACCGCACGACGATTACCGTCACGGGTCTCTGTTGCACCCGGATGTCTGCACAATCATACCGTACCGGAAATCGGGTCTGTCCATGGCGTTTCGCGTTCGGACCGTTGTCTAAATAAATAAATAAAACGGACACCTCTACTAGGAGATGGGTAAAAAGGAACAGGTCCCCGGCCGCCCTGCGGTCTTTGTGCAGGGACCGTTGTCTAGAGAGTTGCGGCACGTGTTTATGTATGTAAAAGAGGAATGCAGAAGATTGGACAGTGGAGGGACGCGGCCAGAAAGAGGGCGGGCGCCGAGTTAGTTTCGAAAGCCGGCGCTTTCGCGGCCGCGTTCGAAGGGGCTTTGTCGCGGAATTTGTGCAAAATGGACAAAATTTGCGCGCGAAAGCCGAGTTGGCACCGCAGGCGGCGTGTGTGCACGAGGGCGGCGGCGTCGAGCGCCGAGCAGCACACCACGAGCGCGAGCGACAGCGCCGACAACGGGAGGCGGCGGGCGGCTCGACCGAGCCGGCGGCGGAGGAGGCGACGGACGTCGAGGCGGTGAGCGCCGCGGACGTCCTGGCCGGCGTGGAGGAGAGCGGCCCGAACTACGCCCTTCCGACGGCGAGGGACGGCCGGAGGGAGCGGCGGGAGCGGCTGCGGGTGGACGAGACGGCGAAGCAGGCGGGGCACACCATCGTGGAGACGGGAACGCACGTCGAGATCCTGGGTGAGCAATTTGCCGCCGCCGCCGATTGGCGGTCGCTGGCTGCTACCCTGCGCCAGCCGCGCGGTGATCCGCACTTCTGCCCAGTCCGTGTCGCACGCCGCGCCTGCCTCGTCGAATGACGGCGGCTCTACGCGTGCCGTGCGCACGTAGTCATATCGCTGCTGATCCCACTGCTTCAGCAGCCCCAGCACGTATTTGCGCCGCTCCTCGACTGGGATCCTCCCTGTCGCTGCCGCCACTCCGATCTCGTTCACGAGGCCGCTAAGGAGCGTGCTCTCCGGTAGGCGCATGAACCTGTTGACTGCGGCGAAGACGTCACGGATGTACCCGACTGAGGTCGTGAGTCGCCCCTCGTCCGTAGCGTCTGGGTAGACCTCTCGTGCCATGTCTTCGAACGCGGCGAGCGCCAGCGGGCCCCCATTGACGGCTTTAAGCACCTTCATCCTCGTCCCGCGGTTGAAGCTGAATCCCGGTCGTCGCGACGCTGTCTCGGCGCTGGTGAGCGTCGCCTCGATGACTCCGCGCAGCTTCTCCCACGCCGCCGTAACGTCCTTGCTCGTCTGTCCATCTACGCTACTCTGGTGTGCTGCTAGCCGGCCCTCACCTGTCGAAAGCAGGACTCGCCGCAGGTCGTCGACGACGAGGGTGTCGAGGAGGCCGTCTCCGTCCGCCAGTGCCCCGCGGTGGTTGGCGCGGCTGACTCTCTCGAGCGGCTTGTAGTGTAGCTGCGCCGTCCCGTCGCCTCCCCCCGTGCCCGCGCTGATTGAAATCTTGCGCGCTCCGCCATGTCCTCGCGACCGCGATCGCGACCGCGAGTTCGACCGCTCGCGGTCGTAGCTGCGCCTCCGCCCCGATCGCGAGCGCGAGCGCGAGCGGCGGCGGCTCCGGCTCGAGTGCCGGCGATGTTGGTCGCGATCCCCCCCCCTGTCTCTCCTCCTGTCTGAGTCAGCGGCGGTGGCGGAGAAGATGTCGCGGATGCTCTCGACGTCGTCGTCGTCGCGTGCCGCGTCCGGTGTCCGGATGCGGTGCTCCTCCATCCAGGCGTGCACTCGCCGCCCGACGCGCTCCGTCGCCTCGGCCGACCACTCCTGGTTCGACCGTGGATAGTCGTCTTCGTGAATGCCCATCTCTTTGGCCACTCTCGCCGGGAGGAGGAGGCGCGTGTTCTCCGCCAGCGGAGTGCCCGCTGGGCAGAGCGTCTTGAGGAGGCGCGTGCCGTAGTCCGCGCGCCGGTAGACGCCCCTGTCGTCTGCCGGCCTCGCCAGCCGCGGCTCGCTCTCGGTGCTTTGCGATCCGTCCCAATCGTCACCGTCGTCAGCCTCTCGGCGCTGCCTCGAGCGAGAGCGCTCCACCCCCTCGCGGCGGCCGCCGTAGTGCCGTCCGCGGTCGCGGCCCCGGCCGCCGCGGTCGTCCTCCTCGCCTTCTCCGTCGAGGCGGACTTGCATCGGGGCGATGGTGTAGATCTGTCGCAGCGCCGTCTTCATCCAGTCCTCCTTGCTCGTGTCGACCATCTTGTGCGTGACCGCTTGGTCCAGGAGGTCGAGGTTCGCGTCCGCCGACGCCGGGAACTGCCCCTCGGCCGCCTCGAAGATCTGGGCGTACCGCTTCGTGATCGGCAGGTCTCCCGCCAGGCCTGCGGCGCGGCAGACCGCCGTCACCTCGTCGTTGGTGCCGTTTGCCTGCCCTGCGTCCTCTGGTGCCGCCGCCTTGCCTTGGATGCGGACGAGCGCCGCGAGCCGCGGGGCGTCGGACAGGTCGGCCTGCCGCTCCCCTTCGACCGGCTCGCCCTCGGCCGCCGGCCAGCGGTACTGCTTGAGGAAGGCGGAGAGCTCAAACTCCTGTGTGACACCTGCCAGCGTCGTCCCTGCCATCGTAATCGTGGCCGAGACCTTGACCTCGCCCTCATCGCCGGAGGCGACGAGCCCGAGGGCGGCGGCGCGGAGGCCGTTCGCCGGTCCCTGCACCGCGGAGCGGGGGCGGCTGAAGCCGAGCACCATCCCCTTGAGCGAGTCAGCCAGCTCGTCTGCCTTGATATGCTTGGTGTTGCCTGAAATCTTGACAATGTACTTCTTCGGCGTGCTCATGTCGCTGCGCTTGATCTGCTTACCGAGAATGCCGAATGCCACGGCACCTGTCCCGGGAAAGCCCTGTAGGTAGCAGAGGGCGCCCTCATACTTGGCGTCGGTCTTCGTCTTGTCGTCGTCGTCCTTGATCCACGTCTTGACTGCCTCTAGCGCGCCGTCTCCAACGGCGTCGCCGCACTCCGCGAGTGCGGCCGTCACTTGCTGCTGGTAATCGGTCAATGCCATCGGTTTTTTCTCGTTGTCTGGTGGCTTGGAGCCTGACGGTGAAGCCTCACTGAGAAGGCGCGTGGTAGCTTGCTTTCGGTGGTTCCGACCCTTCGACTGTGAAACCGCCTCTCGCGCTGTGGGCGCGTTTCTTCTCCTCTCGGCTAGTCACTCGCGCTGGTTCACTCCCGGGAAAGGATCCCTAGCCAAAAAGACCTATATCTTACCCGGCCTGCGCGAAACCGAAGTGCGTCGCGAAGCGCGGCGTGCACCCGGGTGCACCCCCCCTCCACTGCGGAGAGGCCGCAAGCAAGCGTCACCATCCGTAAGGCATGCTAGCTCTCCTTGCGCAGGGTCTTGCGCTGCACCCCTCGGAGCGCGAGCTCACCTTTGCGAGCGCTCACCAGCACGATAGCAGCCTCCTCGGCGGCGCTAGCGACAATGTCGCGCTCCCCCGAGATGCAGCCGGTCAGCCGGCATGGATGGCCCCGGTCCTCATTGATGGGCCGTCCCAGCCGCAGCAGCCGTCGCAAATGCTCGCACTCGGTGCCGACGGGCAGCTCGAGATGCAGGGCCGACCAATTCATCTCAATGGCGTCAACAGCGCATGGGTCACGACGGAAACCTACGGCAGCGACTTTAACACCAGCGCGGCGACGGGGTTTGCTGCGAACAGCTTCTGCGAGTTCAGGCAGCAGGTGGAGACGCTTAGGCTGCATGGGGGCAACTCCATTCGGCTTTGGATGTTTGAGGACGCCGGCATGGAGGAGTGGCGCGCGCCGTTCTTGCTGAACGCGTCCGGTCACATCACCGGCCTTGCCGACGGCGTAGTCGACGCCTTCAAGCGGTACCTGGACATCGCTCGAAATCATAGCGTGCTGGTCATCCCCGTCATGTGGAGCGCCGCGCTCGTGCGCACAGCTCTCTGCTGCTCCGTCCTTGGCGACGAGACTGCGCTGCAGGCCTTCATCGAGAACGCACTTCGTCCGCTGGTGAGCGCTACACGGTCCGACCCGGTCATCGCGATGTGGGAGATCGTCAACGAGATCGAGGGCGTCCTCAACATGTCGACCTCCTCTCCAGCGGGAGGCGGTTGCTCGGACCTCTCCGCCGTCGCCAGGTGTGCCGGCCCAAACAACCAACCCGGTTGGAATCTTGAACAGGGCGGGACGTGCCTCTTCCCAGTCGCCTCGCTCCAGCGCTTCATAAATCGGCAAATCGCGGCAGTCAAGCTGGAGTCACCCCAGCATCTCGTCACGAGCAGCTCGTGGAGTCAGTGCGCTATGACGAGCGAATTCGGCGGGGCACGTGTTTGGGCAGACAAGTGCCTCCAGGACGCAGGCGGGCAGCAGACGGGCACGATCGACGTGTGGCAGGTTCATGATTATCCCAAGGAAGACAACGGTGCCGCCTTTGGCACGGGTTCTCCCGTGACGACGACGGCTTCTCAGTACAACCTCGGTTCGAGACCGATTCTCGTCGGTGAGATCTCAAATCGTTGGACTTACTACACACCAAACAGCAGCGCGACCTACCCTCCCGTCCCGACGTTCAACCAGTCAATGAGCAACGTGACCAAGCACGTCCTCAACAACGGGTTCGCCGGCTCTCTCTCATGGGCGTTCACATGCCTCGTGGGATACGGCCACGACACGGCGTGCCTCGGGCGGGCGGACTTAAGCGACGGGCTCAGCGGGTGGCCGCGGGGGTCGTTCGCACCTTTGAAGCTGCAAGCCCCGACGAACTACGACCTCAGCGGCTCGGTCACGTGCCCGGCTGAATGCGGCACCGAGCCTGTCGACCTTGCACCATCTCCGGACTACACTTGCCCGGAGCGAGCGGCCTGGGGAGAGTGCACACAGGACTGGATGCGGGGGTATTGCTCGTTCTCGTGCTACCAGTGCGACCCGAACTGCGGCACGGACACCCCTTGCCTTCTCACGTGACGGACGTGCGTGTTGCAACACCCACCTCACACACGCGTCCCCAGAGAGTGGTTTGGAGCGAGGTACGGGTGGCGGCGGGCTCGAGTAAAGTCCGGGGAAAATGCGGGATCCTCCCCATTTCATAGGTGCTCCAACGCCCTAGCCGGCTCGGGAGTACTGTCCTTCCCGTTATATACGCACCCGCTCACACTTTTAGGCTCTCCGGCGGCCTCAGGGGCCTTGGTTGCCGAGGGCTGCCGCTTCAGCGGCGCGGTCACAGTGCCGTGGAGCCGGCCAGCGTGCTCGCAGCCATGCCGCTGGTGGACCATGCCCGCCTCCCGCCCGGCGGCTCCAACCACAGCCCGCCTCACCGTCCGTGAAGCTTCCGTGGTCCGCTGTTCCGGCTTCGATTTTCGACCCTCCCGAGGCTGCTAGAGCAGCCCTGCGGAGCCTCCCGGATGCACCAGCACACCGTCGTCCAGGACGACGGCGCATGCGCTGCCCAGTGACCGGGCGGGTCGGCCCCGACTAGGGCCGGGCCCAGCCGCGCGGAGAAGACCACCGAGCTCGAAACACGTCGCCGCGGCCGGCCGTTTCGCAAGCCTGAGCGGGTCGCCAGACACCCGCGAGAGCCAGCAGCTAGAGCGCCGTCGTAGCCGCAGATCGAGTCGAGGAGCTTGATGTCCACGGTAGCAGTTGTGGAGAGTGGTGGGACGGTGCGTGTAGACGCGTCGATTGAGGGCTCTTTTTCGAAACGCGACGGGTACGGCTTGACAACTGCCAGCACAGTTTTACGCCGGCCAGCGTGAGAGCAAAACAGGGATCCGGCGACCCGTACGCTTTGCGCGTGGCGACCGGTGGCTGTCTGGAGCTCGTGCGAGCTGGTCCGACGCGTGGCCGAGCCGAGAGGACCAGCGAGCGACCACATTGGCGATGAAGCTTGGCGGCCGGCGCCTCGTCGCCAGACGTCACAGCGGCGTGGACGCAGGAGTGTGAGGCGACGAGTGCCGGCAAATCCGGCCCGGTGTGGCCGGCAGCTGCCTAGCGCTGGCCTGTGGCCGGCGCCGCGGTGGCGGAAGAGGCGTCTCGCCGCCGTGGCGGCGGTCGGCAGGTGCGAGCGTGATGGCCATCGTGCGGCAGACCGGCAGAGTCCGAAGGCAGATTTTCTCGAACAGCTCTTGCTACGGGGGCGGGGAACTCTTGTCTTGTGGTTCTGTGTGTCGCTCCTGTGTGACCGCCACCGCCCGTCTTGCGTCCACCCATACCGCGTTGGTGTCCCAGTCGTTGGTCGGACTGTGTTTCGCCTTCCCATCAATCAAAAAAGAGATACTCTTGGCACCCTTTGTCTGTTACATCACTTAGTATTAATGAGAGAGAGAGATTTTTAGCAATACCAAACAACGTTATTAATGTGGATGTTTTGCCGAAAAACGCGATGGGCCCATCTGCACCTCCGGCTGGAAGCAAACCGGTCGTCACTCGCAGCCCCGCCTTCGCACAGAGGCGCCCGGGCCCTCCACCTCCCCTCGCCCCGCGGCAGCCTCGGCCGTCGACTCGGCCACACGCGGCTGACCGCCGCCGCCCAGCGGGTCGACGTGCTCCGCGTCGAGCGGCCTGTTCACACCCGGACGGCGCTGTGAAGAGGCGTTTCGTGCACGCAGCCTGTGGCCGCCCTCTGCGCGCGGGGCGACGGGTCGGGGGAGCGAGCTGTGGACGCAACAACTCCTCCCACATGCGACTCGGAAGGGGTGGTGGTGGGGAGGAAGGGGGGGGGTGAGGTGGGAGGGGGTGCGCGAGCGGGGGGGGGGGGGAACGGACCCTCCCTCGAGCGAGCCGCGCAGCAACGCGCGCACCTGCAAGTTAAGTGAAGGGAAGTGAAGGGAAGGGAAGTACAGGGCTTTGCCACACAAACACACACACACACACACACACATTGACACTAATACACAGAGAGTGAGAGAGATACAGAGAGAGAGAGAGAGAGAGAGAGAGAGAGAGAGAGAGAGAGAGAGAGAGAGAGAGAGAGACGCGCTCTCTATCTCGGCTGTCACTCCAGCAGCCGAGAGCGTCTGCTATCCGAGTGGCTGTCCGTGCGTGCGGGGCATCTGGGCGGCGCGGACAAACGCTGCGCGTGTGGCGTGCTGCGCCGGGGTCGGCGCGCCGGGCGGCGGCGGCACGCCCCCACCAACGCCGAACGGCGACGGCACCACCTATTCACAGCGCGCCGCCGCCGGCGGTGTGAAGAGACGCGGCTCACGCCGCCGCGCAACGCAGATGTTGCACCGGCATGGCCGCCGCGCCGCCGGGGAAGTGGGCCGCCTCGCGCCCCGCGCCGCGGAGTAGCGACCACGGCTCGCCTGCAGGGCGAGGCGGGCCGATCGCAGTGTGCAAGGCCCGCTGCGCGCCGCGGGCAGTGCGCGCGCGACTCGCCTCCGGCGTGCGAGGCGCTGATGTGGCTCAGGAGGTCGGAGAGCGGATCCGCGACGGCGAGCGGCGAGAGGGCGCCGCCGTCGGCGTCCCGCTCCCCAAACGAGAGCGCCGCACTCCCCACGGGCCGCCGCATCACCCGCCGCCGCATCAGCCCGCCCCGCTCGCCCTCGCCGAGCAACGACTTGATCCGCTCCTCCGCCGCCTCGGCGCCGAAGAGGAGGCCGTCGCCGGCGCCGGCGCCGGCGCCGCCGCCGTAGAGGATCAGCTGCTCCTCGAGCGAGCTCATCGCGGGTCGCGGTGTATGTTGGGCGGCTGTCCGGCAGGAAAAGAAGAAAAAAAACGGCGACCTGTACACGGAACCATCCCTCGGAGACGTGTTATGGCCCTGCGACCGCGCACCCCCGGGGCTAGGGCTCTCTTGCCCGCAACCCGACACCGAGCGTCCGGCCAACTGGGTGCGCTTCTCAGCTCCCCGGTCCTGGGCGTGAGGTTACCGACTGCACTCCAAGTGCTCCAAGTGTTGCGCAGGAGCACTTACACACGTCTGCTAGAGATGCCTTTCGGGGCCCAGAGATAAAACTTCTGATGCCATGCGTGACCTAGTAGTGTCCCCAGCTATGGGCGTGTCCACGTTGGAGCCATGAGGTCTGGCCCCCGGCCCGGCTGCGCGCGGCCCGGCGCCGCCGCGCTCGCTCCTCTTTGAGAGCACGCTCGTGTGTGTGACGTGCGTGTGCGTGCGTAGGGCTGGACGAAGGATGCTGAAGTGCAGGCTCCGGAGAAGAAGAATTGCACCGAAAGACCGTGTTTGTGTTGCGATGTTTTCGTTGAACGAGACTCGAGAGGGGAGACAGCACCCGCGCTAGCAGTAGCACCGTGGCGCCCAGGGAGATGGGCACACACACCGGGGCTCTCCGCCCACGCGAAAACCCCTCCCGGTCCCATTGCAAACCCACACCGCTATTCACTGCGCACCGCACCAACCGCGCACCCGCCTCCGAAGCCCTCGGCGCGCGTGTCGCGCACCGAGGCCAGGGCACCCACCAGGGCACGCACCTTGGCATCGACGCACTCACCACAGCTGCACTGAATGCGGGAGGCGCGATCGTCGCGGGGCTCTCCGACGGCTCCCCGGCCGGCGACGCCGTTCCGCGGCGAAAGCCATATCCTCCGCCGCCTCGCGCGCACCCGCGTTCGCACTGCACCGTGGCACTGCACTTGCACTGACACTTGACCGGGCGCGAGCGCGCTCACTGCCTCAGCCAGCCTCGCTCGCTCTAGCACATGCAGGCATCCAACAGGGGGAAGGGCAGGTGCTCCGTGTCTTCGAGCAGCAGCATTGCCATGAGGCCTGCTGGTGGCTCCAATGCGACGGCGCTCAGCTTATAGTCGGGCGTGTCGCGCACGCACGGAAAGTCCAAATAGGCGGCCGAAGGGGCGGTGCGGTCGAGGCACGCTGCCGACGCCGTGGACGTCGTCGTCCGCACCCACTGCTGAGCCCCACGGCCAAGGCGCGCGAGAGATGACATTGCGTGTGCGTCACTTGCAGTCGAAGCGCAGCTGGCCTAACCGCCGCTCGAACGTTATGGTCAAAGGCAGCGGAGCGCATCGACGGAGCGCACAGGTGGATGTTTGTGAGTCTTAGGGAGGGATGCCTAGGCGTGAATTCACCGCCCTAGAAATAAATTTAAAACGCGTTTATTGCCTGTTTAGCGCCGATCTTACAGCTTATTCGAATGTCTTCTTACGTTGCTTCAGCCGTCATTTCCCCTCCTTTCACCCGCTCTTCCCCCGCCTTTCAGCCGCCATTCAAGCAACGTTGAACCGCGTTTCACAAACATGTTTTCCGCTCTTCGTCAACACGGTTTGCCTTGAAGTTACCGCACCGACGCTAAATTCAAGCCCCTTCAAGCCAATTTATGGATTATGGGCAGGTGGGCAGGAACACTGCTGCTGCTGCTAAGCACCCGCACCGCCCAGTGAGTAGTGTCACGGGCTAGCTGAAGATGGAGACCGGCGTCTTGGCCGGTAGCTCCTCGACGGTCTTCTGCTCCTGAATCTCAATCTGCCAGTGTGCGGCCACCGTCGGGTCGTCGCGCGCGAGAAGTTGGCCGAGGTTCTTGAAGCAGGAAAGACTGCCCGTCCCGGTCTTCACCTTGATTGTGACGTCATTCGAGACGTCAACGCCATTGGCCGCGGCCAGCAGCTGCTGCAGGCCGCTCGCCTTGGTGCCGGCTGGCACCTGCAGGTTCACCGAGACGGTGGAACCCTGCTTGCACGCGATGAGCAAGGGCTCAGCCATGCGTCCTCGCCCCGCGTGCCTATGCCACGGAGCCACGAAACGCGGAAGAAGAATTCACCCGCTCCGCGCGAGGGAGTTTTGTTGTCGTAGTGGCAAGACGTGCTCTCCTCTCGACAGCTAAGGGCTAAGTAAGACGCGCTCATTGTTGCAATGTCATTGAGGCAGGAAAGAGCTCGCCGAGGAGTCGAGGGCTCCCGACCACGCCGGACCCAGCCAGGATAAGGCACGCTTGCCTTAAACTGCCATGAAGAGCACTAAATGTGCGATAAAAAATCTGTTGAAAGCGCCACAAAATGTGTTTGAATTACATCTGAACGGAGGAAGAATCTCTCGGAAATGAACAGCGAAGGGCGCAGTGAAAAACGATAAAACAAATCTTCAAAGCGCCTTGTATTCATGGTTAGGCACCCTCGCTTAGGTAGCGCGGGTTAGCGCGGGTTCCACCTTCACCTTCTCATTGGTTTGGTGGAGTATAGGTACGAGGGGGGTGGGGCATCTCTTGCGGGTCTCGCCAGGGGCGCCTACTAACCTCGCTTGCGAGGGGCGTGTGGCATGTCTGAACGGACTCGTGAGGGGCGCCTGCCAACCTCGCTTCGTCGAAGCGGCGCTCGGTACCCACACCCACCCCGCCGCATTCGTCGCCGGCGCGCGACACGTTCCCGTCGGCTGGACTGCCCTCGTCGAGTGCGTGTCGCCAACCAAGGCGGGACGCACTCAGGGACAGTGCCGGCGGGACGCGGCTCGAGAGGCGGCTCCCGCGGAGGCACGGCTGGCACCTGTGGCGCGGGGCTCGTCTTCGGAAAGACCAGGATCGCTCTACTGGCAAAGTTCTGGCTGACACGCGCGCCCGGTCGAGCCTTCGGCGGGCGCGCTGCGGTCGCACGCCTACCCAAGTCATATGCCACGGCGTGCGATCTAGATTCAGCACACGCGCCTCTGCTTGCAACCACTCATCCAATGAACTGTCGTCACCCATGAGTGCGAGTTAGGGCTAGCGGCTGGCCAATAGTCTCACACGTTCGCCCCTGTCGCCTGTCTGTGTTGTTGTGCTGTTGTTTGTCTCTTGGCACCTTGGAGTGCTGGGGGGGCGACAGGGGGGACGTGGCCTGAGTGATGTGTACGCCCACTCAGGATGTGTGGCAGCCCGCTGGCTGTGTGTCTTGTGAGCTTGTTTGTGTCTGTGTGTCGCTCGTGCGTGTCGTCATCATCTGTCTTGCGTCCACCCATACCGCGTTGGTGTCCAGTCCGAGCCTGACTGTTCTTCACCTTACTACATACATACATACCGGGTTAAGCCGCACTAACCGGCACGGGTCAGCTCGGGTCAGAACACGGGTTACCATAACCCGACGCTAACCCGGCACTACGGGGTGTGGACCGTGAGTTGACCAGCCAGGGGTTGTGCGCCGGGACCTCCTGCTCGGCTCCAGCCAGTAGTCAAGTCTTGTCACTAACAGAGTAGAAGGATCTGACCTCGGGGCCGATGTGACCAAGCGCTGGTAGCGTGGTTTGACCTCACACCCATGGTCTCACAGTGTGCCGGCAATCGCCGAGCAGTGTCGCTCACACAAGCCGCAGCACAAGTGACTGAGGGCCAGTGAGGGCGAGCCCATCGCTGTCACAGCTGTGGCAGCCGCACAGTAGGCTGTGCCATCTGTGCAGAGCGTGTGAGCAGCAGAGGAGCTGCTCTCCAGGCTTCTGTCGCAAACAGCTGCATGCCACCGAAGGCGCTGTCGAGGTTCGCCGAGCGCGGCGAAAATCCACCGTCACCGACGAGCGCGTTGTTATATGAGGAGTATTCACTCCGGACAAAAAACGCGGGCGTGGCAGGCGACACGGACGTGCCGCAAGCTTTTAGCGGCGAGGCGCGGGACCGTCTGTGGGTCTGTGGCGAGGTGGGTCGCGTCCCCCGATTTCCGTCAACCCAGCATCCACACCCTTTAGAGGGGCTCCCCCGGAGCGCGGAGGCCGGAGCGCGCGCGCCATGAGCATGACACGTGGACACAACCCACAACACGACGAAGAACAACGCACAGACAAACGTCACGCCGCCTTGTGCTTGCGCGAGCTGGAGCCGTGCTCGCGCTCGCGGTGCGGCGGTGCGGCCGTCCCCTTCTGCCGCCACGTGGCGAGGAGGATCCAGACCGAGCCCGCCAGCCAGCCGCCGAGCACCAGCAGCCCCGCGTACAGCTGGTGCTGTCGCCGAAAGTCGCCGAACGAGTAGCAGCTTTCTGTGCCGCGCGCCGGCGGCGGCGACGGCGGAGGCAGCTTCGTGGCGCGCACGGGCAGCGGCGGCCTGCCGGGCGATCCGTCGTGCAGCGCGGCGTATTGGTCCTACGCCATGAAGGAGCACGCCAACGTCAGTGGCGGGAAGACTGTGCAGAGTCTTCAGAGCAGCGCGTGGTGCGAGGGACAGGGACCACAGCTGCACCCGGCTGAGGACGGCCGAGTACAGCCGAGTACAGCGGAGCACGTGACGCCTCGAGCGCCAGGTGGGAGACAAGGGTGCGGTCTCGGGGGGTGCGTGTGCGTACTGCGCTTCTCTGTGTCGGTGACAGCTGTGCTGTGAGAGAGGCGTCCGTCGTACACTTCTAGGGGGCGTGTCCTCGAAGACCGCCTCCCACGCCCGCCCCGTGGCGGAGGGCGAGTGCTGCGCCTCCGCGAACCGCCGCGCCGCGCGCACGGCGGCGTCGCGCGCGCTGCGGTCGGAGCACAGCTTTGCCAGCGGGGCGGTGCCCTCGCCGAGCAGCTGGCCTACAGAGAAGACAGCGCTGGGCGGCTCAACAAGAACGGCACGCCGGGGCGGTGCGGTCCGCCGCCGAGGAGCTCGCCCGCCACGCCGCCCACAAGGAAGAGCGCGCGCGGGGCGGCCTCCTTTTGGCCGAGGATCTGCGAGAGGGGCGCCGCATCGCCCAGCGCGGGGCTGACGATCGCCGTCTCCGCTAGCATCGCCTCCAGCAGGAGCTGCGGCGGCGGAGGGCGAGAGTCGGCGCCGGCGGACGGCGCGGGCAGCAGCAGAAGCACAAAGTCCGCGCGCAGCAGCTCCTCCATCAGGGAGCGCCTGTTCACAGCTTCAGGTGTGAAGAGACGCCGTTCACGCCGCGCGCGCGCAGCGGCTCCTCCGTCAGGGAGCGCCGGTGCAGCAGCCCGGCGTAGCGGCCCCACGGCGCCTCCTCGAGCCGCGTAAAGACGACCGCCTCCGGCTTTGACAGTGTGAGGCCCCACTTGCCGCCCGCCGTCGTGAAGCCTAGCACCAGCCGGTCTCCAGAGTCTCGAGGCCGTGTGCGGGTTCGGTCCCGTGGCTGGTGCGGTAGGCATCGCCTCCGTCGAACGGGAGGGTGCCCGCGGTGATCGAGGCGCCCGGAAGCGACTACGGGCGTGAGCGAAGGGAGTGAGCAGCTCACGCGCTCCTCTTGAGCACGAGAGGAGTGCGAGGCCTCGCGCAGGGCCGGGAGCGCGTCGAGGAAGGCGACGAGGCCCGGGTGGTCGAGGTGTCGAACGCACGCGAGGAAGGAGTTGCGCACGTGGCGAGGGAAGCCCCCGTCGCCGAGCTCGCTCCGCACCCCGCCCCACCGCGCGCCGTCGGCCAGAGGCCGCACCACGGCCACGCGAGAGCGCGGCGGGCCTATCATCAATTAATTAATAATAACTCATCATTAATTAGGCCGCACCACGGCCACGCGAGAGCGCGGCGGGCCTATAATCAATTAATTAACAATAACTCATCATTAATTAGGCCGCACCACGGCCACGCGAGAGCGCGGCGGGCCGCGCGTCGGCGGCAGCGACAGCGGCCTCAGCCTCGCCTCGAGCACTCGCTTGTGCGCGGTCGACGGCACGACCAGCCGCGCGAGCCTCCCCGCCAGGTTCGCGAGCAGAGGCATCGACAGCCGTGCCTCGGGCGCCGGCGTCGCTCTCCCCTGGTCGCCCTCGCCGGCAGAGGGCGCGTCGTCGGCGCTGGCGGGCGGCGCGGGCAGGCCGAGCGACTCGGCCTCCCTCTCGGCGACCCAGAGGTAGACGCCCACGCGGGCGAGGAGGGGGAGGCGCGCTGCAAACTGCCCGAGCAGCCGCACAATCACCACGTGGTCGAAGAGCGCCTGCTCACAGCTTCAGGTGTGAAGAGACGCCGTTCACGCAGCCGCACAATCGCCACGTGGTCGAAGAGCGCCTCGCCGGGCGCGATGCCGTCAACCCACGGCGGGACCCTGCCGGGCGAGGCGGGCGTGCCGGGCCTGCGCGGCGGAGAGGTGAGGACGAGCCACTCCGCGTGTACGTACTGAACCCCGTCCGCCGCCGTCCCCTCCGCCGACGCGACCATCGGCCCAGCAACGACCACCGCGTACCCGAGCGCCGCCACCGCGCGCGCCGACTCCGCCACCTGCGTCCGCTCGTCAAAGAGCGCGCCTGCGTCGAGCGGGTCCCACGCCGCGCCCTCCGCCTCGCTGCCGACGTAGAAGAGGACCCTCTCCCGCCGGTCCGCGCCGGTCAGCCTTGGCGGCGCCGCGCCGCCCCCGCCCTCCTTCTCCGGCCCCTCGATGCCAGACGCGGCCGCGCTTTCTGTTTGCCTCGGAGCGGGCTCGCCAGGCCCCGCCTTCAGCCTAGGCGGCCGCTTTCCTCCCGGCGTGCTCAGCGGCGGCGGCGCTCTTGGCGGCGGCGGCGCCCTCGCCGCCGGCGAGCCCGGCGGGCGGGGTGGCAGCGGCAGCGGCGGCAGCCACGGCTGCTCGGCGGGGGCTGGATGCGGGTCCGGGTTGGCGCCTCCACTATGGCCCACAGCCCTGCCGATCTCGACGCGCTGCGAGCTCATGGCGTCGGCCCGAGTGTGCATGTACTCCCTGAGCCCGAGGCCGCCCGCCTGACCGCCCGCCTCGCCCCTCTCCCCGCCCCTCTGCACCTTCTCGTTGAAGGCTTTCCATGCGCCCTTTTCGTGGATGGCCTGCGTGCGTCGCCACGTCCCGTCTCCGTTGACCTAAGGTAAGGTGAGGTAGACGTACACACACACGACGTCTCCACCACACTACGAGGTGGTGGGGCAATGGCCCGGGCGACCCCTCGCGCCTCCACGTCTAACGACAGGAGCCGCACGGCATTCAAAGTGCACAAGGCCCGGTGCGCGTGGTGGGTGAGCGGTGTGGGAGCGTGTGTGTGGGAGTGTGTGTGTGTGTGTGTGTGTGTGTGTGTGTGTGTGTGTGTGTGTGTGTGTGTGTGTGTGTGTGTGTGTGTGTGTGTGTGTGTGTGTGTGTGTGTGTGTGTGTGTGTGTGTGTGTGTGTGTGTGTGTGTGTGTGTGTGTGCGTGCGCGCGCGCGTTGACCTCGAATTGGACGTCGGCCTCCTCGGGCGTTGGCCTCTCCCGCGCCAGCGCCGGCACGAGCGGCGCTGTGAGGCCGATGCCGGAGTCGCCGCGAGGCGAGTGGAAGACCTCAAACAGGTTCGTGTTGTCGCCCGGGCGGGGCCCGTACAGCACCCTCCCGTTCGGCGCTGTCCCCTTGACCTCGTCGATGACCGCCCCGACGCGCGGCTGCACGAAGATGAGCGAGTCGCACCCTTCCAGCACGATCGCGCCGATGTCGGCCATCCCCTTGGCTCTTTGCACGTCCGAGTACTTTGCCTTGCCGGTCCACTTGCCCGAGTCGCGGTAGCGCGTGAACATGGAGGTGAGCGCGGGCATGCAATGATGCGCGCGGGCCCACTCGCGCATGCCGGGCACCTGTTCACAGCCGGAGCCGTGAAGCGACGCCGCCCAATCGAGGACGCTCCGTCTTTGCGGGTCGGGTCCCACCCAGAGGAACGACTCCTCCGAGTGCTCTCTGGAGAGAAAGGCGGCGCGGAGCGAGAGGAGCGTCATCGGGCCGGAGGGCGTGGGCGCGTCGTGGGTGACGGCGTAAAAACGCGGCATGTCCGCCTCGATAGCCCGCTCGAGCTGCCGGTTGAAGTGCTCGTCGAACCATCTCCTCGCCGCCCGGTCCTCAGAGCTCGCGGCATTCTGCTTGTCCTGGGAAAAGCGGGGGTGCTCCTTGATGGAGACGTCGTCCATCATCTCGTCCCAAGTCTTGTATTCGTGCCCGTCCGGGCTCGGCTGCTGCGCCGCCAGCAGCAGCACCTGCCGAATCTCAAAGCAATCGCCGAGCGTGAGCCGCGTCATTGTTTTTGCGTTGACAGACGTCGCTAGGCTAAAGTCCGGCGCAGCCGCAGCGAGAACTGCGGGGACCAGCGCGGCCCGAGGCGTAGCCAGAGAGACGAAGAGGAGCGCCAGAGGCGAGCGAGGTGGCCATCGCATGGCTCGGCCAGGCTCGCCGGCTGGGACACGCGCGGTTTTTCTCTTTTTTTGAGCTTTGCCTTCCGTAGCACGTCTAGAGAGAGAGAGAGAGAGAGAGACTCTCTCTCTCGTAGCACGTCTACCTACACCTACCTACCTACGTCTACCTCCGTCATAGTGCCACGACGTGCGGCCTAGAATTAGCACACGCGCCTCTGCTTGAATACACTCATACATTGGATTGTCATCGCCTTGTCCCACTTATCGAATTTGTGCAGGCGAGAGTACTCGTCCGAATTCCGGCGTTTTTCAGAATTCTCACCCTACTATACTACAAGTACTCGCACGGTACACACACACAGCTCGCAAACACTCACCCATTTGATTGTCACTGTCCGTGAGTGCGAGATTAGGGCTAGCCGCAGGCAGCTAGCCTCTGAGGAGGGCGTCCATAGACACCTCACTAGACCCCACACACGGTCTCGTCCGTGCCTCGCCGGCCGGAGAGATTGCTGGAGGTAGAGCAAGCCTGCTCTAGCCTCGCATGTCGCTTCCTGTCGTCTGTTGTGTTGTTGTGCCCTTGTTTGTTCTCTTGGCACCTTGGAGTGCTGGGGGGGGCGACAGGGAGGATGTGGCCTTGAGTTATGTGTAAGCCGACTCAGGGTGTGTGGCAGCCAGCTGGCTGTGTGTCTTGTGAGCCTGTTTGTGTCTGTGTGTCGTTCGTGCGTGTCGTCATCATCTGTCCAGCGTCCACCCATACCGCGTTGGTGTCCAGTCCGAGCCTGGCTGTTCTTCACCTTTCTACCTACCTACCTGCCTTCGACCCAGTCGTTGGTCGGACTGTGTTTCGCCTTCCCATCAATCAATCAGTATGAAACAACGCAACGGACATGGCATATCGCTCTCGGGCCCACAGACATCCCGCACACTCGCCACACACCCGCCGCCCCCGCGCGTAATAAACACAAGTCGCGTAAAGCACAAGTCTTCACCATTCGTGCAGCACAGAGGGTAATAGAAGGCTATAAAAGGCTTTCGCAGAGCTGTTATTGAGAAGAAAATACCTCACATGGCGCTGCGCGCTGGTCTATGAGAGGTTGAGGTGCGAGCCCTGGAGGCCCTGGGAATGGGGGGATGAATGAGACTACCCGCGGCGAGCATGGTTCTGGCATGGTTGTCTCGCGAGCTCTGCGGGTTTTCCTCTTTTTTGAGAGAGCGCCTTCGTTGTGTGTGTGTGTGTGTGTGTGTGTGTGTGTGTGTGTGTGTGTGTGTGTGTGTGTGTGTGTGTGTGTGTGTGTGTGTGTGTGTGTGTGTAGGCGTCGCTACGCGCGGTCTTCCGCGGGGGGAGGGCTTCGTCGACGGGTGCGGGATCGCGGCGCGGCTGGTGCTGCGGCGATGCCTCCGGCTGTTGCGGCGGGCGGCTTCGTTGCTGCTCGCGGCGATGGCGAAAAACTCGTCTCGTCGCATACACCAAGAGCTTATGCTCCGGCGAGATGTGAGGCGCATGCGCCCAGGAGGGGAGGGCGCATGCGTAACGACGCTGCTAGAGATGCCTTTCGGGGCCCAGAGATAAAACTTCTGATGCCATGCGTGACCTAGTAGTGTCCCCAGCTATGGGCGTGTCCACGTTGGAGCCAGGTGTGGTGTGGGCGCGAGAATAGCTCCGCCGTTCATGGAGGCAACCGATGCGAGTCGACTGGTGTGTGTCGTCGTGGTTTCGTATCACAAGAATACTCACTCACACATGCCTTCGTTGTTAGTTATAATACAGACGGATGATCACTTGCTGTTGTGTGTGTGTGTGTGTGTGTGTGTGTGTGTGTGTGTGTGTGTGTGTGTGTGTGTGTGTGTGTGTGTGTGTGTGTGTGTGTGTGTGTGTGTGTGTGTGTGTGTGTGTGTGTGTGTGTGTGTGTGTGTGTGTAGCCACATGACACGCACACACCCGCACTTTTTTTTTAGAGCGCCTTCGTTGTTTACTAATAATCTCTTTTTGAGCTAGCCTTCGATGTGTGTTCTTTCACCTTCCTTGAATCCCTTCCGGACGCGCTTTCTCTCTTGTTAACACATGCGCGTGCCCTTTAGGCCTCTCCCCCGTGCGCGTGATGGGCGAATTGTGATCGATGGGGCGCTTGAGGCTGCGGTTGGTACTCACCCTTCTCAAAAAACAAACACGTTGTTGGTCATAAAAAGGAAACGCTGAAGAGCATCTGCTGCGCGGGCGTCAGCCGCTTCTGCGGGAGGACGACCCCGGCTAGAGTAGTCTCCGACCACACCCACAAAGAACCCTGCACAAAGATCGCAAGGGCAGGGGCCTGTTCCTTTTTACCCATCTCACAGTAGAGAGGTGTCCGTTTTTATTTATTTATTTATTTAGCTTGGGGAAGTGCGCCGGGCCGTGCGTCCCATTGCGGGACTCGTGGCGCCTCTCCCAGGCCCGCCGCAGCGGTCCCGTGGGTACCTGCCTATTTGTGAGTCTCCAAACGCACATGCATACATGCAGGCACACAACGCGGGCTGTAACAAGCTCCTCTACTTCTGCGCGACTAAACGCCCGACCAACCGCCCATCATTGCCTCCACAGCTCAATCTTCTTGGGCAAGAGCTGATTCGACAGGTGATCTCCGTGGCCTAGGCAGCCGCTTTCGCCCCCGCCCCAGCTCCAGGCGGCGCCGCCAGCGGTGAGGGCGAGGCTGTGGTTCAGCCCAGCCGACACAGCGATGACGCGCGGGCCCCCAACCAAGGCCTCGACCTTCTTCGGCAGCAGCTGGTGCTGCTGGTCGCCGTGGCCCAGCTTGCCTTGGCCTCCAAAGCCCCCAGACCAGACAGCACCGTCGGCGGTGAGGGCGAGGCTGTGGCAGTCGGCAGAGACAGCGACGACGCGCCGCCCAGCAAAGGCCTCGATCTTCTTTGGCAGCAGCTGGTGCTGCTGGTTGCCGTGGCCCAACCTGCCTTGGTGTCCGTAGCCCCAGCTCCAGACAGCGCCGTCGGCGGTGATGGCGAGGCTGTAGTTTGTTCCAGCCGACACAGCGACGACGCGCTGGTCAGCAAAGGCCTCGATCTTCTTGGGCAGCAGCTGGCGTTGCACGTCGCCGTGGCCCAACCGGCCTGAGCCTCCATTGCCCCAGCTCCAGACAGCTCCGTCGGCGGTGATGGCGAGGCTGTGCAGACCTCCAGCCGACACAGCGACGACGCGCTGGCCAGCAAATGATTCGATCTCCTTGGGCAGCAGCTGGTTCTGCAGGTCGCCGTGGCCCAGCTGGCCGACGTCTCCCTGGCCCCAGCTCCAGACGGCTCCATCGGCGGTGAGGGCGAGGCTTTGGCAGCAGCTGGTTCTGCACACAGCGACGATGCGCTGGCCGGCAAAGGCCTCGATCTTCTTTGGCAGCAGCTGGTTCTGCTGGTCGCCGTGGCCCAGCATGCCATAGATTCCCCCACCCCAGCTCCAGAGAGCTCCGTCGGCAGTGAGGGCGAAGCTGTGCATGAATCCAGTCGACACGCTCACGGCACGCTCGCCGCCCAGCTGAGGAGAGGGGAGGCGGGTCGGCGTGTTGAGCCGCGTCACGCCCTCGCCGTGCCCGAGTAGTCCCGGCTGCCAGCTGTTAGCCTTGCCGCACGACGAGAGCCGCCCCTCGCCGTCGATGAAGAAGCTGTGAGACTGGCCTGCCGCCACCCTCGCCGGAGGGTTGGACTCGCACAGCAACGCCGAATAGCACAGCCACCGCACGGCGCAGCTCTCGCCCTCTGGCAGTGCCGGCAGCTCGAAACCGCGCTCTTGCGCCCACAAGCGGATGGCCTCCACCGCAAGCGAGGCGTGCAAGACGCGCGAGATGCCCGCGGCGCGAGCGATGTCGGCGGGGTCGCAGCGAGAGACGGCGCGCACGAGGAGCTCCGAGGGGAGGTCGAGGAGGTGGGCGGGCGGCGGCGTGTCTGGCGATGGCGCGGCGGTGGCGGCGGTGGCGAGGCGGCGCGAGCGGCGGCGCGGCGGGGCAGACATCGCGAGAAAAAGAATTTTTGCGTCAGTCGCACGACACGATTCACGCGACAGGCGAGGTGCGGGCGAAGTCCTTCTGCAGGGGTTCGCAAAAAAAGAATGCGAGATAATTCTTTTCTCAGGCGATTAACGTTGGCGTAATGAAGGTGGCAGGCTTTGTGTGTATGCTCATCGCCCTCAGTGGCTCTGCTGACGCGCTGCTCGCCGTGCCTCGAGCCTCCCCGCGGATGGCCGCGACCACCGACTGGTCCTCGGACGAGCCGTGGCACGCTACGTCCACCGCGTCGTCGACGCCGCCGAAGGCCGCGTTTGAGCAAGCGTTTGCTCCGGTGCGCCTTCTGCTTGCGCCAGGCCGAGTAAGCAGGCAGGGGCCGCCGTCATGTACCGCCTCTGCGCGTTTCTGTTAGGTGGCTGCGATCCTCGAGGAGAAAGCCGCCGCTGCGGAGACGGCTGAGAAGGCCAAGAAGAAGAAGAAGTGAGTAGAAGCTATATGTCGTCGTCCCCTCTGCGCTCCCAATGCTGCCGCGAACCAAGCCCAAGCTACACGGTTCGCGAGCAGCCCGTCGCGGCATCGCTTCGCCGAGCCAATTCCAGGCTTGCGCGCACTATACCGCCCATCTTATGTTTGCCGCTAGTTATGCATGTGTGAGAGAATGTTGTCTGTGAGCTCAGCAGTGCCCCTGTGGCTGTGCCCCGCTGAGCTCGCCGGCCCAGTGTGGGACTCGTCACAGAAGCTTCCCTTTCGCCCGGTCGATCTGTTCGCACGTCCGTGATGACCCACAGCACAAGAACGAAAAAGGCTTCAGTATACGTCCACGTGGGTCGTGGCTAGTTCGTGACCGAGGGCCCGTCTCTCAACACTCAACTCTCAAGAGAGCGACCCGCCGCACTCCGCCGCTCATCAGCCGATTCCAGCTCGAGGTCGAGCGGTGGTGCGCGGCGGACAGCATCGAGGAGTCGCTGCACCGCCGGGTCGCCCTCCGCCTCCTCGACGCTTGCATGCTCCCACCGCGGCGGCTGCCCCTTGCGCTCGCCGACGGCGCAAGCGACGCCCTCCGCAAACTCGTCGCGGCAGACCAGCGCCTGGTTGGCGGCGAGCTCCGCACCCAACGCGGCGGCGCGTCGCGCGAGCGGCTCCTCTGGCAGCGGCAGCTGCAGGCACTCGAGCGCCACCAGCAGCGCCGCCGGGGAGGCCCTCGACAGTGCTGCCTGGGAAAAGAAAAAAACAGGGTGAAAAAGAAATCGTGCCGCCGCCGGGGAGGCACCAGGCGGATGATGCCCGTGTGTCTCGCGCCCAGCTTGCCAGACCTAGGTCGCCCTTAGCTTCGGCCGCCTCCGCCGCGTCGCAAAGCCGCGCGGGAAGCCTCTGCAGCGCGCTCGCCGAATCGAGCGTCTCGCGCGCAAAGACCAGCGACGCCGCGGCCGCCTCGTAGCCTCCCGCCGCCGCCCGCGTCGCCGCCGCCATTGGCGCCGTCGCCGCCGCCCCGCAAGAGTCTATCGTGCGCCGCAGCCGCCGGGTAATCTCGTCGCGTAGTCTCGCGTCCTCTTCTCGCGTACTCTCGCGTACTGTCGGGCGCTCTCGGGGTCTCTCAGGCAACCTCCCCTCGCCTATCGTGTCGCGCAGCTCCGCCGCGCTGGAGCAGTCCACTAGCGAGGAATAGGTGGCCTGCACCGCCGCGCCTTAGCTGTTAGTTGCGAGCTCTTTAGCGGGCGCCCTCGCTAGTCTCGGCCAATCTCGACCGATCTCGACCGGTCTCTCGGCTGGTCTCCGCCTGCACCGCCTCGGCAGCGTCGCTCGTCGAAGGGAGCGAGCGCTGCCCGGGCTGGCGCTCGGTTTCGTCGGCGCCGCAAACATGCCTAGCACGGAGACGAGGCGAGATGCGGCGAGTTGAGCCGAGCCTGACAGCGGTCGTCGTTCGTACACGTGCGTGCAGAGGCCGCCGGCCGCCATGGCGTCCGAGGAGAAGCGGCCGCCGGTCAGCGACGCCCACTGCCCGATCCCGCCTGCTGCGCAAGACTCCCTCCTCTCATGAACTACGCGCCGCCGCCGTCGAGGCGGCTGCGCAAGAGATCTGCCGCCAGCGGCGCATCTCGGCGCATCTCGGCGCATCTCGGCGCATCTCGGCGCATCTCGGCGCATCTCGGCGCATCTCCCCCGCCTTCCAGGCAGCTGCGCAGGTAGTCTGTGGCGCCGACGTCGGGCACGATGCCGAGCGCGCACTCTGTTCACAGCTGCAGGTGTGAAGAGACGCTGTTCACAGCCCCAGCAGCGCGCACTCTGGCACGGGGCGCGACGACACGAGGTTTGGCCGAGGTGAGCCGAGGTTTGCGGCGTGGCTCGGCGAGATCCAGCGAGAGGTGACGAGGGGGCCCGCATTACTGCTGGTTACTGGAGACTGCGACCACGCGGACTACTGCAGAGTGCTGCAATATTACTGGTCACTGGAGACTGTGCAGAGTGGCGATGCTGCGCGGCTGTGAGAGGCTTGCCTGGCATCGCCAGGCTGGACGGCGCGCTGGCAATGCGCGTCTCTGCCGCCATGAAGAGCCCCGCTCCGGCGCCAAAAATGAGTCCGTCTGCAAGCGCGACCACAGGCACGCTATCCCGCAGCGCAAACAGCTCGATCATCAGGCTGTACTCGCGCCGCAGAAAGTCGCGCCTCTGCTGTGGCGGCATCGCGGCCACCTGCCGGATGTCGCCGCCCGCACAGAATGCGCGGTCTCCGGACGCCGTCAGAAGCAGGCCGGAGGCACCCTCCTCCCTCGCCGCAACCACCGCCTCGCGGAGTCCGTCCACCATCTCTGAAGAAAGAGCGTTCAGCTTCGAAGGCCGGTTGAGTCGCACCTCAAGCACGCCGCCAGGATGCCGCCTCGTGAGGAGCGGAGGCGCGGTGGCGCACGCGTGTAACGATAGCAGCAGCATCGGTGCCGTCATCGTGGTGGTCTGTGCGCGCGGCTCCGGTGGTGAGCCGGTGTGTGTGCCAGTCCGCGCCAGTCCGCGCCCTAGACGGCCAGCTTGGCTGGAGAGAGGCTTGTGATATAAGAATTCTTAAGAACTACGCGTTCTTAAGACGCTGAGTCGATATTCTTCGTCACACGGAATGGGCGAGGTCTGCGCAGAGCCAGAGGCCCATCACGCGCCGCTCGCGCCTGCTACCGTCGTGGCCAATTCGCAGCAGTGGCGGAGGTAGCCCAAACGGACCTGCCTCGAGGTTCCAGCTCGCGTAGGACGAGAACCCCTTTCCCGGGCGGTACTTCCGTGCGGCGCGTGTGTTGCTGCCACGAGGGAAGTAGGTGATGAGCGCGTACCGGCAGCCCGACGCCGCGATACGTCGCAGCACCATAGCAGCCCGCTCAGCCGAAAAGTGAAACAGTAAGTCGCGTACCACCACAAGGTCTGCAGGCCACAAGTATTCGAGAGCGAGGTCGAATCGGCCAAAGGAGATTCGGTGGGGCGAGGGGCCATTCGGCCGTTCGCTTGGTGTGCCAAACGTGGCTTGTAGCTCCGCCACCAACGACGAGACGATATCCAAGCCCTGATATACGATGCCAGGCGGGGTGGCGGCGGCGCTCAAAACCTCACGCATATAATTGAAATCGCCACAGGGCACATCCAGGACCGTGCGCACACGCATGAGGGAGAGGAGGACAGGCAGAACCGTGCGCACGCCAGCTGTCTCCTCAGCGTTGCTGCCTGGCCCACTCAGCGAGGTCCCGCGCGACTGTCGGCTCTCGGTCGGGCTGGCGAGCGTCTTGCCGGCGAAGGTCAGGTTGCTGTAGTAGCCTGAATACACCCGCTCCGAGAAATGCGGGTCAGATCCTCCCGTTGCGCCATTTTCAAACGAGCAGTTGCGCAAGCCCCAGCCCGGAGCACAGCGGCAGCGGCCACGTCTGCACCGGCCGCGCGGCGCGTTGCAATCCTGGTCCGACGCACAGTAGTGCTGCTGGAGACTCGGAGCGATCAGATCCTGTAGGGTCTTCGGGCAGCTGGGGCAGCCTGACGTGAGCACAGTACTGCAGCCACAAATGGAGGAGGGCTCGCAGCTGCCGGGTTCCGAGGCTACAGCTGGGCATGGGGCCTCCGACGTGCAGGGTGGAGCCGCATTCGAGCCTGCTTTGAGAATCGTGGCAGCAACTTCGCACAGCGTCGCCTGCGCTTGCAAAGAGCCGGTGGCTCTCGCGGCCGTTTCCAGGCGCTGCAGCGACTGAGCTAGCACGAGCAGGTGAAACATGGTGCTCATCGGGGCGGGCGGGCGGCGGGCACCTACAGTGGGTTGCGGGCATTAAGAAAACAGGATTGCGCGGCACGCCGCCGTTTCTAAGCCTTTCCACACCCCTCACCCACCCCACGCCGTGGTTTCTTAGCTCCCGCAAACAAAGGTAGGTCAAAGGTCAGAGCCGGCCCCCTCGTCGGAAGAGGTGAGCTGCGGTCCCGGACGGATCCGATGCCGCCAGCCAGTCTGCCACCGACTCAAGACGCACACGCATCCATCCACTCGCTCAAAACACCGCAGAGGACTTGTAAAATGCCAAGTGCGCGCGCCGCGCAGGCGAAGAGAAATTTTGAGCTCGGAGCTCCTGTTCACACTCGTGTCTGGCCTTTTCTCGGAGCCGCGCCTGCGGCGCGCCGTGGTTTCTTAGATTTTTGCGGAAATCGCCCGGCGTGGTTTCTTAAGGTGGCAATTCGGGTTCTGTGAAGAGGGTCGCTCGTCGATGCGAGCCAGTTCGCTCGCGACGCCGACGCCGACGCCGCCGCCGGAACGACCGCGGCGGCCGGTCGAGCGGCCGCCCCGGCCAGCGGCCGTATCGAGCCTGCCCGTCGCGAAGGTGCGGACCTCATGCGCCCCACCGGCCGCCCGCGCCGCCGCGCCCACGTCGCTCTCTCGAAGCCGAGCGCCACGCCGCTACGACTCCCATCGCGACGACTCCCGTGCTCGCTCCTGGCACAGGCGATCGACTCCTGACACCCATCGAGCGGATGGGCGCGTTCCCGCCGCGACCCGGTACTCTCGAACGACTTTTGAGGGCAAAAGGTGCCGCCCGAGCCCATTCCCGCCGCCCGCCGCCCGAGATCAGCTGCCACCGGCCAGCGCGCGCGCGGAGACCTGCCGCGAGCGCCTCCGTGGCCCTAGCTGGGGTGATTAGCAAGCGCCTCGGCACTTTAGATTCGCCCCTCGGGCTTTTCCGCGCGCGTGATCAGTCTCGCGTTCTCTACTTTTTCAGGCGCCTGTTTTCGGCCTCTGAAGAGCAACCGTCGAGGCGTCGATGCTCGCCTCCGCGCCAGACCTCCGCGATTGGGGCGCCTTGTCGACGGGATCAATTGTGATTCCGGGCGTATTTTTCTGACACTTTACTCGCACGTCGGCGACTCTTAGTCGCTTCTCCGTGCTAGGAGGCCTCTGTTTTGTGTCCGTGAGGACTAGATCGAAACTAACATTTCGGCATATGCGAGTAAAGTATCAGAAAAATGCGCGTTCGTTCACAATTCATGTGTATATGAACGGTGCCGACGGGTTTGGCGAGCATCGAAGCCGTCCAGGCGCAGCAACGCGACGGTTTCGGAGGCCGACGGCTCCGAAAGAGCCTCCCGAGCGAGGCCGGCGCGGTCACGGTACCGTGGAGGCCACAGACGTCGCCGGAGCGGCACTCCCGGGGCGCCACTCCCTCACCCGGTCAGGGGGGGGCAACCACAGCCCGCCTCACCGTCCGTGGAGCTTCCGTGGTCCGCCGCTCCGGCTTCGATTTTCGACCCTCCCGAGGCTGCTAGAGCAGCCCCGCGGAGCCTCCCGGATGCACCGGCACACCGTCGTCCAGAACGCCGGCGCACGCGCTGCCCAGTGACTGGGCGGGTCGGCCCCGACTAGGGGCGGGCCCAGCCGCGCGGAGAAGGCCAGCGAGCTCGAAACACGTCGCCGCGGCCGGCCGTTTCGCAAGCCTGAGCGGGTCGCCAGACACCCGCGAGAGCCAGCAGCTAGAGCGCCGTCGTAGCCGCAGATCGAGTCGAGGAGCTTGATGTCCACGGTAGCAGTTGTGGAGAGCGGTGGCACGGTGCGTGTAGACGCGTCAATTGAGGGCTCCCTTTCGAAACGCGACGGGTACGGCATGACAACTGCCAGTACAGTTTTACGCCGGCCAGCGTGAGAGCACAACAGGGAGCCGGCGACCCGTACGCTTTGCGCGTGGCGACTGGTGGCTGTCTGGAGCTCGTGTGAGCTGGGCCGACGCGTGGCCGAGCCGAGAGGACCAGCGAGCGACCACGTTGGCGATGAAGCTTGGCGGCCGGCGCCTCGTCGCCAGACGTCACAGCGGCGTGGACGTAGGAGTGTGCGGCGACGGTTACCGGCAAATCCGGCCCAGTGTGGCCGGCAGCTGCCTAGCGCTGGCCTGTGGCCGGCGCCGCGGTGGCGGAGAAGGCGTCTCGCCGCCGTGGCGGCGGTCGGCAGGTGCGAGCGTGATGCCATCTTGCGAGACGACACCCGTCTCGCAAAACCCGGACTCCCACCTCAAGCCCGCGAGACCACTCGGCACCTAGCCCTCGAATGCCCTTACACAGGCTTGGTCCATGAGGCCGCCCTCCGCACGGTTCTGGAAGTCACAACGCTAGACGAGGCGGTGCGTGAAGAGACACGGCGTTCGCGATGGCAACAACTCGCACACGAACACCGCCGACTCTGCATAACCGGGTTTCGGCTTACTACGAGCAGAGGACAGATGGCAGAGGGGCGCATTGGGGCAACGCCGACACGCGTGATGATGCTGGAGACGCTGGCGGGCATCGTGCGGCGGCGGCACTACAACGCGAACCTTGCACACGACGCGACGCCGGACGCCCGAGTCGACTCCATCTTCAAGGACGCTAGGGCGGCACTTGTCCGCCAATTTTACTACACGGCAAAGAGAGCACAGCAAACCGAGAGGGAAATACGCCTTCGCATACCCGGATGGCAGCCCTCGCCCGGGGAAGGACCAGTAGCAGAGTGGGAGAGGGATTGGCTCGCCTCCGGCTTCTTTTCTGACGACGGCCAATGCGCGCTTCCGGAGAGGATTCAGCTTGCCCGCGACATTGCTGCGAATGATTGCACAAGCAACACGATGGCACTACTCAGCGTCGAGCCTTGTGATAGGGGCGGTGCTTGCCGTGTTAAAGTGCGGCTGATGGTGGAGGCGCCAGGGGTTATACTTCGACCCTGTCGATGGGACGGCACCACGCCCCCACAGCAGCAACCACCCGACTGGACGGCGTACACTGATGGGTCGGAAGACGGAGGCAGGGCAGGATGGGCGTACGCCGTAGTCATGGGCGGGGACGGCATATGCGACGTGAATGCCATGCTCGTGACCGAAGGCTACGGCCCCGTCGTGACTAGCCCCGTACACGCCGCTTTCGTGGGGGCGCGGAAACACACCAATAACACGGCGGAGCTGTCAGCGCTTGCGGAGCTTTTTCGCTCACTACTCCACACGGCACCACGACCAGCAGGCTCACGAGGGGTGGTCCGAACGGACAGCGAGTACGCGATGGCGTGTGCAACGGGGAGAATCTCGCCGGGGGAGAACGCACAACTAGCGAGCTACCTTCGAGCAGCGTGGCGGCATTTAGCGTCGAGGCACGAAGTGACATGGAGACACGTCAAGGGGCACAGTGGTCATAAGTGGAACGACTACGTCGATAAGCAAGCTGACCTCGGCAGGAGCGGCGCGAGGTATTGCGGCGCACCGGAGTGGCAAGACGAGTCGATCCCAACAGACGCAGACGACGGTGAGAGCAGCACCGTGGGCGACGACGTGGTTATTAACGGAGGTGGTACAACCATCCCACTCGACGACATCGGTGATGGGGCCTCTAGCTACGCCGATGACCCACCCGACTCCCCCGAAAACAGACCGCCGCCTGGCGCCCCGCCCTCGCCGCCTAAAGCCCCATGCGGCGCTCCGCCTCCTCTCGAACCGCCGGGCTCGCGGTCTCACGCCGCATTGCCGAGCGCACCTTCATGGCCCGGCGGAGCAGGGTCACCACGTGCGCGTCCTCCTCAACCGTTGCCGGCATCAGTGTGAGCTCGAGCGTGGCAAGCGCCTCGTCCCTCGCGGTGTTGCCGTTCTTGACGGAGTCGCTTAGGCGGCTCCGGTGGTGTGCCGGTGATAGTGCTAGCACGCGCCAGTTCGCACCTGTGTCGAGCCTGTCTGCTGTGAGAGAGAGTTCTTTTGTTTAAACTCTTCTTAGAGAATTTCCTCGACCTACAATTCACGCGATAGGCGAGGCGCCCGAGTACTACTCGGGCGCGGTATATATTTTCTTTTTTGGGCCTGTCTCTCAGTATCTCTGCTCTCCAGGCTTCTGTCGCAAAGAGCTGCATGCCACCGAAGGCGCTGTCGAGGTTCGCCGAGCGCGGCGCAGGTTGGTTGGGGGAAGCCCGAAGCCGCCACCGACGATTGGACTTTTCACTCCGGACAAAGACGGGCGCACGCACACGAGCTGCGGTCGTGCGCCCGTCATAGCGGCGAGGCGCGGACCGTCTGTGGCGAAGTGGGTCGCGTCCCCCGATTTCCGTCTCAACCCAGCATCCATACCCTTTACATCAACCTGTGTACAAGCTGTATAATACAGTTAACGTGCGTTTCGTAAACTCTCCATAAAAATACGCTTTTAGGTCTCCATCACACAGACACGACAAACACAAAACACACAGTGTTAGATTTGTTTGGTATTGCTAAAAATCTCTCTCACACGACGACTCACGAGCAGGAGCACGCACTCGCACATACCCGACTCCCGAAATCGATCCATTGTTCTCTCCCATAAATATCGGAGGGTTCGGCCGTGCCACTTCTAACGTAGACCTCGCCACCCATTGCCCCCCCCCCCCCCCCGCAAGCCCTGGCTCCACACACACACACACACACACACACACACACACACACACACACACACACACACACACACACACACACACACACACACACACACACACACACACACACACACACACACACACATACACGCACCCACACAATACATGCATGCATGCATGCACATGCATGCATGCATGTCACACACACACACCACCCAGGCGTCTCTGCTGCCGGTACGTGATAACACCGAGGACAGGCGAGGGCCGCTCTTCACGGGCGCTGCGCTCACACCTCCGCCCGCGCTAGTGGCCCTGACGAAGATCGTCCGGAATTCCTTGGGGAGGACATCGGCGATGGGTTGTTGGCCGCCCGCGCGCTGTCCAAGCTGGCCAGCCCTCCAGAGGTCCTTCCGAGCTCGACTCCACCGCTCGTGCTGTTGAACCCGTCGGCAAGCCTGCCATGCTGCCCGGCCCGCACCGGCCTCATCTGGCCGGGGATGCCGCGGGCGCGCGCCCCCGTCGCCGCCGAGAGCTGGAGCCCCATTTTCTCCACCATCTCGCGGGACGCTGCCGACCCTCGCTCCGGCCGGCAAGGAGACTGTGCTCCAGTGTTTCCGCCGTCATCGATCGCCCCTTGAGAGGGAGAGGCGGAGCGCGAGGCCGGCGCGGACGAGCAGGCGTTCCTCGCCTGCAGGAGCCGCGCCACCGCCCGCCGACGCCGGAGGACACTGGCCACGCAGATGGCTGCGGTGGCCGCGACGCCGACGCCGAGCGCCACCACCATCAGCGCCAATGTGATTTTCCAGAGCTGGGACGACTCGCCGCCGGGCATGCAGGCGCCGCAAACGCTCGCAAATTCGCCGGCCACGCGCCCGCAGGCCTCAGACTCGCTCAGCAAGCCGCCTTCAGAGCTTTGTAGCCACGCGATTCGATCGCCGCAGGAGTGTTCGCCGCTGCCGGCAACATTTTCCCACGCCGAGTCGCAATTGCTGGTGCCGCAGTGAGCGCCACCGTGCCCGCTCGACATGTCACTGGGCAGTGGGTAGTGAGGAGAACGCCGTCCCTCACTTGAAAAGAATTTTACAACGAAAGGCGGTCGCACGACACGATTCCGAGCCTGGCTGTTCTTCACCTTACTACCTACCTACCTACCTACGATTCACGCGACAGGTGAGGCGCGGGCGACGGCTTCCTCAGAAGCCGTCGCCCGCACCACAGGAGCAGTCACACCACTCCCTGAAAAGAATTTTACAAGCCTAGCCGGTCGCACAACACGATTCACGCGACAGGCAAGGCACGGGCGACGGCTTCCTCAGAAGCCGTCGTCCTCACCGTAGCCGTCGTCGGACCCCCAATCAGGGGGACAGTCGAATCCGCGAGCACCGTGGTGCTCGCCGAAAAGACCATCCCCATCCCACTCCCCCTCATCCCAACCCCCCCCACCCGCGCGCCTACCCCGCCGATGGCCGGTGGGGCGGGAAACCCCGCCCCACCCACCATTGCGCAGCAGGGGTTCGAGGTCCTCGCTGAGCAGCAGAAGCCGCCCAGCCCGGACCTCGTCCCTCCACCCCTCCCTCTCCCACCGGAGTAGTGAGAACGGCGTCCCTACTTGTAAGAATTTAATGCGACACCTAACACAGGTTCTCTCGAGGTTCTCGAGGTGGATATCCTTTAACCTGGTTTGTGGAGCTCCCACACCTGTTCTGACAGAGACCTGGCCGTTCTGACAGCGTTCTGACAGCGTTCTGACAGTGTTCTGACAACGTTCTGGCAGTGTTCTGACAGCGCAAAATCCTCCCCTCTCTTCACAGCTCAGGGGCTCTGACATTCCCAGTTGCCTCTGCTCCTTCCCTCTCTCTGTCTTGAAGTCTCCCTCCCTCCGACGACCGAGCCACGGACGGACGGACGGACTCAACACACACACGCACACAGTCACACACAGCACATCCTCCCACAAGGTGACACTCTCACGTTGAGGCGTAGGCCCTGTTCTGACACAAACTTGGTCCCGTTCTGACACAAACTTCAACTTTCAACTTCGAGCCAAGTCTGTTGTGACAACGAAAAAAGAAATGACGGTGCTGCCGCGAGAGGTCGGGCGCGCAGCAACGGTCGTCCGTTGTCAGGTGGCAACGCCAAGGCCGCCATGCCGCTGTATAGCAAACGTGCTCTTGCGATGGTCTGCACAGACAGCCCCGCGACGCAAACGAGCCGCGGTCCGCGGTCCCGGGGGCAGCCGGTTCGACGCAGCACAATGGGCAAAGCGCGAGCCCGGCGGTTCAGTCAGACTGGAAGGCTGCATCCAAGACGGCAGCCTCGGTTATTGCGCGACTGAACGTGTCGCTTGCGCCGCCACCGCGCCGCTCAATGTGTCACACCCTGGCAATCGAAACACCCTTTCACTGCAAAACAACAGCAACAGCGAGTGACGACTTCAGCTTGGACTTGCCTGACCGGAGCGACTGCCTCGAGCTGACTGCTCTTCAGCCGATCTTGCAGATGTTCACACTTGGCCCGCTTTCGCGTGCTGGCAACGTTCTGACAGTACCCTACCCACAAAAGTGTTCTGACAGCGTTCTGACAGCGTTCTGACAGCGTTCTGACAGTGTTCTGACAGCGTTCTGACAGCCGTTCTGACAGCTTTCCGACGGTAATTTACAGTTAAGGCTCACCATCTGGTCTGAATAGAGGAGCGCGATGGCAGTGTCGGTTATAGCAGAAAGATTCCTTAATTCTCTCCACTACGAAAAAAGTCTGGTGGGGAACCGACATCATGGCCCCGAATGCCGTGCTCTCTAGGTAAGGTGTGGGAGCTCCACAAACCAGGTTCTTTGGCCGCGTTGGGTAGCGAGGATTGGTGTGACGCGATCCACGCAGGCGTGTTTTCTGGCGGCCGACCGTCAGTGCACGGAGTTGCCCCTTCTCCGACTGCCCCGGCTAGTTCACGAGACAGTTTCGCGGGAGTGACCCCATGCGTCAAACCCGAGACCTAGCGCGGGTGGGTTGGAGGGGGCTCGCCCCGTTCCTCCCCATCGGGCCGCATGAGCGGCCACGCCTCGCGAACTGGCACTAACACAGAGCGAGAAACCCCAATTTGGCTCGCCAACAACTCGTAAAAACAATCGTGATCGGTCCCGCTATGGATATGCCCAACCCACAAAATGAAGAGAAGTGTCACCCCCCAAAATTAATACGCATGGAGACAGAGGTCCTCACTGCCGAAGGTCCTCACTCCTGCTCGGCCTTAAGAAGGTCCTCACCAGCGAGATGCATCTATCTCGTAGCCACTATCGGTCGGCCGCCAGAAAACACGCCTGCGTGGATCGCGTCACCTCACACCAATCCTCGCTACCCAACGCGGCCAAAGGATATCCACCTCGAGAACCTCGAGAGTGGCCACTATCGAGCCACAATCGTCCAACAGCCGACCTGTGTCCACTCATCTGTCTGGGCGCATGCCAGCCATTTCTTGTTGCATGAACAGGGAGGATTGGGCGGCTTCATTAGAGGCTTCATATGTGTGAAGACCTCTCTCTGCTGTGGGGGGGAACCTCTGTGAGGACTTCTGTGAGGACCTAACTCGACAGCGATGCACACGGCTCGCCAAACCTCGAGTTTAACTGCATGCTGGCTGCAAGAAATACAGCTTTTTTGTAATTAATTACATCCATACAACCATGAAACTGGATCGCTTCCTCCATCGTGCACTACCGTAGTGCGGTAGAGGTGCACATTCTTCTGATGCATATAGATCCATCTCCTCCCTTCCTGCTGTGTCTCGCGCCTTGCGGCCACGCAGAGGACGGCACTCACTCTCCCCCTTCCCGTAGTATGCTAGCTAGAGGGACCGCACAGACAGCGCAGAGGGAGGGTCGGACCAGGGGTTTTGACGCCGTGTCCCGGTAGGCGTTCCCGAGCGGGGAGGTCCCTCGCTCAAGAGGTCCTCAAAGGTCCTCAGGCACCATCGGTGAGACCCCCACCGTCCCCATCCATCGTAGCGGATGGACCGAGGTTCGTTTCTGGGCGGGGCGCGAGCAGGCGGGGCGCCGTTCGATCCCTGCTGCGGTCCTCTCGAGAGGACACGAGAGGTCCTCAGCACTAACAAACAAGGCAGCGGTCCTCCTGTACGAAGCGGTCCGTTATGGGAGTAGGGCGCGCGCGGCATTGACGCGGACCCAGGTATTTCTCCGAGTATATCTAGATACCCGGGTTTTTGCAGGTATACCCGGGTTTTACCCGGAGGGTGTGTCAACACCGTGTTAACGGCTGTGTTAACGCTTGTTTTGGGACTGCCGTTCAACTGTGTAAACACCGACCTTTGCGCCAAGTGTTGACACGATCTGTAGTCAGAGCTGCCCCTGAGGTGTGTTAATGTTAATCCACCAGCCCTGCGGTGGCACTCTTCCACGTCTCGCTCACGCTGAGAAAAAATCTGAAACTGGGGCATGACGAACTGGTCGGACCGCTCAGCCCGACTCGCGGTTGGGTGGCGGGACGCGTCGAAAAAGAATTCAACCAGGAAATTTTACATGAAACTTACTCGCACGACACTGGTGTACCTGTGTTAGTGCCAGTGCGCGCCAGTCCCGTGCCCAGTGTCGTGCGAAAAAAGAATTTACTCGCTCAGTGCGAAGTTTCTCTCAGCTCATGTTACCCATAACGCGTTGGTGTCCCAGTCGTTGGTCGGACTGTGTTTCGCCTTCCCATCAATCAATTCCCCCTCTCACGATGGTACCCGCAGCAGGAACCGCCGTCAAACTCGACCACGGTGGTACCCGCAGCAGGAACCGCCGTGACACCGATACCCCGCGCCGGCGGCGAGATCAGGTCGCCCTCGCGATAGACCTAGCAGTAATAGGCAACTTAATTCGAAACCTCGGGCCCCACCCGCAACTAGCACGACGTGGCCTTGTCAAAGATCGCGCCGATCACGTGGAGGCTCGAGATCAGGTTGGGCCCGGCGTTGCCGAAGTAGATCCTCACGCGCTCGCCCTGCTTCGCCATCAGCGGCCTCTCGGTCAATGCACCCTCCCGGCCGTTGAAGACCACATACGTCGGACTCTCCCGCAGCCCCGCCTCGTAGTCGAGCTCCAGCACACTCGACCCCTCCTCGTCCTCGGCGGAGTACACTTCGTGCTGCACCACGTAGAATTCTCGGTCCACCGGAGGAAGGCCGCCTGCGCGGAGGCGGCGCGCCGCACGCTTCGGTGAGAGCCTTCGCGAGGCGTTTCGGGCGTGGCGGTGAGCAGACAGAGGCGGTGTGGCGGTGGGGAGGGCAGCCCGCCCTCTGGCTCCACAAGCACGAGGCCAAACATGCCTGCGGCGAGGGGTGGGTGCCTGGTAAGAGAAGGGAGATGCCGACTAGTAGGGGTGGCGCCCACCGCCGCAGCGCTGCGGGTGGGGAGGCCGGGGCTTCGGCGGGGCAGGCGGCGCGCGATGCCGTTCGCAATGTGGACCGGCACAGGCGCAGCCGCGCAGTGGTACACGAACAGCCCAGGCGAGGTGCACTTGAAAATGCCCGTCTTGGTCTCGTCCTGCTCCGCATACAGGCACGGGCCCCCGCCGCCTGGGCCCACCACGCTATGCAGGTCGATGTTGTGCGCCATGCCCGACTCAGCCCGATTCGTGTAGTTCACCTGGTGGAGGCGGGTCGGGGGTCAGGGCCGCGGCGCGGAGGGGGCGACCGAGAGGAGAAGGGCTACGGCGGAGAGGCGGCCGTAGGTACCTCGAGCACGTCCCCGACGCGGGCCCGGATCATCGGCCCCGGCACGCCGTCGTTGAAAGTCCAGAACGGGTACTTGCAGGATGGCGACACAGGCATCGTCTTCTCCGTGCTGTACAAGTCGACGACGAGGCGGGCCGGCGTTCTCCGCTCAATGGGCGGCGGCACGTGGGGCGCCATGGTGAGGGGCGCCTTGATGCGCGGCAGCGCCTCGATGGCGGCCACACGGACGGCGTCAACCTTGAGGACGGGGGGAGGCGCGGTGAGGGCGGCCGCCATGCTGGTAGCAGTCGTCAGGGACGGTGGCGAGTGGGAGAGTCAGGGACGGTGGCGAGTAGGCCTTGGTAAGCTTTGCGTGGTGATCGAGAGCGTTGTCCAGCTCCTCTTCAAAGCGCTTCGCCGCGGCGACCTCCGGCTCGGCTTGAACAGAGACGTCGACGCGGAAGGTGGACGGGTTCTGGGCGGCGTTGAAGCGGGCCGCACCGCTATTCTCGGCGGCCGAAACCTCCTGCTGCATGGCGCGACTCTTCGACGCGCGCTCCTGCTGCTTGGCTGCTGAGGGAGCGGAGGGCTCGCAGCGGAGGGTGGAGCCGGCGGACAAGGCCGCAGCGGCAGTGAGTGAGCGAATCCGCAAAACACTCCGGCGCATTGGCGGGGGGCGACTCGATCCCGGCCCACTGCGTGCCGAGCAGAGACGCGGACAGCTTCCTCACCTGCTGCAGCTCGGACGCCTCGCACGCACGCGCCAGCAGCCTCTTCCCGTGGGGGGTGTAACAAGGGGGTGTTGGTTGAGCGCCGGTTTCCTGCGGCTTGTTTAGATTTTTCTTTTGCACGCGCCAGTTCGCACCTGTGTCGAGCCTGTGTGCTGTGAGAGAGAGTTGTTTTGTTTAAATTCTTTTGTGCGCTGGAGATGACAGACATTAGCGTGAGCCGTGGGGTAGGATCAGGGGTAGGAACGACGACAGACACTAGCAGGGGGGGGGGGGGGGCGCTTCGACGACTGCGGATCGCTCATGTCCGTTGGTTGGTTGGTGCAGGCAGGCAGCCTCCCGCGGTCGGTCCCAGCCCGGGCCGCTCAAGGCAAGCTCCCGGGATGGCGAGCCGATGCCCGACGCTCCGCACGCCGACCTGCGGCGAGCGCGCCGCACGTGTGAGTCTCGTCTTGCGAGGCGGGATGGATTCGCCTATCGCCCTGCTGCAGCATCCGTTCCCATCTCTGGCTGCCGTTCGCCGAGCGCCTCCTCAAAGCATGCGAGAATCTCGTCGCTCTGAAGGTCAGTCTCTAGCACGTCGTCAGCAGCGCGGATGCTCGCCAGCAAGCACGGCCCGCCGTCGGTCGCGGTCTCGTCTTAGTTCTGGCAGAGTGCCCGTCGAGACCGTGTCCTGATGTGCTCTGCACGGGTGAGTCACGTCGGCGTCAAAGGAGCGACGTGTGACCTGTCAGAGCTTGATCTCCGAACTCCGATCTCAGCGACGTCGAGTCGCCTTCGGTGGCGACAGCTAGGATGCATCTCCTCCGTCGTTTTTCGCGCATGGCCCTGAGAAGGTGTACCCTCACCTCTGTTTATTCCGGCACTCTCTGGGGTGTTTCGCGCACCAGCAGACTCCACGCTGTATTGTCTCCATTCAGCAGGACACTTCTCACGCGAGTTGTAGGTATTTTGTTGCCAAAATGAAGCGAGCCACCTTCTGTGGATATGTCGTCGGATAAAAGTACTCTTTGTTATAAAATGAACTCGGGGGCACAGGACGCGGTACAAACGCGGTACACCAAAAAAGTCTTCCTTTTTTGAGCAGGTGTGACGCCGCGCGAGCGACGCTCCGAGATCGCCCGAGATAGCGCGGCGCGGCCCCGAGATCGCCCGAGATTGCGCGAGATCGCCCGAGATCGCGCGGCGCGGCCCGAGGCGAGGTGGATGGGCTGGGAGCGAGGGGGCGGAAGTGCTCAGTGCGGTAGATGGTCAGCTCGAGGCGCGTGAGCCGGACTTGTGAGCCGGACCACCCCCTCTTGTTCCCTGCGTTGTTGAGCCAGGACTCAACTTCCCCCCCCCCCCCCCCCCCTCACCGCCCGCTCCAGCTGATGTGGCGCACACCCTCTCCACTGTCTCTCACAGGTGATAGGAAGGCACGGCTCTCAATGAGAACGATGGGCTTGCCCATCCCGGAGTGGTTCGATCCCACATGAATCCGAGACGGTGACGGGTGTTGTCTCGGTGATCTCAGGCCCAGTGAGGTAGTGCATCAGACTATCCCGGATCCTGCTGACCAAGCTCCTCTTGTAGCTCGATCGGTCACACCGCCATCGCCGTCGGGGAGAGGGGGGACGACACTGCTGCGGCAGCGTGCACCTCGATCCTGTACCGTGTTTGTTATGACCCCCCCCAATGAACATACCAGTGAGGGAGGGCGAGACGATCGAGGGGTCCCGTACCACGCGGAATCGGCCCTATCCAGTGCTCAAGTGCTCAAGGACTCAACATACTCGGGCTGTCGCCGTCCCAAACTGTCACTCCCCTCTCTCCCGGCCGGGGTGGGGCGCGCGCGGGGGCGGCGGGTGTGCGGGATGTCTGTGGGGCCGAGAGTGATATGCCATGTCCCGCCTTGCTTTGTTTCCTAACATCGAAGGCTAAGCTCAAAAAGTACTCTTTTGCTGCCTTCATCGCCCGAAACGCGCGCGACGGACGGACAGCCCGCCAATATGGCGCTCGAGACAACGTTGAGGCACCGGCATTCACCATGGAGGCGTGCGTGAGCAGGATGTCGGCGACGCCCTCCTGCAGTACAACTCCGCTGCGATGCCCCCACCCGAATGTGTTAAATCCAAGCTCGATCACCTCGACCCCATATGCATTCATTCACTAGGTCGCGGTGCTGCACAGCGCGAGGCGGCAGGCGGGGCTGAGACGGAGCCTGTACCGCGCCTCGGCGAATGTGAGAAAGTGAGAACCGTCGTAGCCAGTTGGCGGCACTGATAGCAGCTAACCGGAGAGGCAGGCTGCGACACCAGCGGGCCGCCTGCTGCTCACCCTTCACAGCGTGCCCTCTACACACGACTACTCTGAAACGCCGGATCGCCCTTGCAGCGTTGTTGCCACCCGCACCCAACGCCGCGCCCTCGCCGCCACGCAGCTTTATGGACTGGAAGAGGAAGCAGCAGTACATGTATCACGGCGGCCTGCGGAAGCTGACCGATATTGTCGAGATGGACTCGGAGGAGGCACGCACCCGGACAAGTAGAGACACGCACGCCCGGGGCGGGAGCCCTCCCCTTGCACAGCCAGACAGACCTTGCGGCGAGTGGAGTGTTTGACTGGCCCTCTGCCCCCCCTGCCCCCCACCCAGGACATTGCGGAGGACTCGGGTCGGAGGTCAATAAGCCAGACAGTATGAGGCGCGGTCGCGATGGTGCGTGGTGTATGGCGTGCTTTACGTCTCCTGGGATCCGTGTAAGGGTGTCCCTTCCCGTTGACTTGCAAGACACATCGCTCTCGGGCCCCCACAGACCATCCCGCACACCCGCCGCCCCCCAGCGCGCGCCGCACCGCTTGGAGCGCCGCATCCCCGGCGGCGGCTATTTGCGAGTTTCTCAAAACCGACAGAACGCGAGTAGCGAGCGTCGCTCACTCCGGCGATCCGCCGCCCGTACCGCACCAGAGGACGAGCACTCCATGGCGCCTCCCCTACCGGCCAAGGAGGCCACGCTCTTCAAGGCCATCGTCAAGCACTACGAGCTCAAGAGCTACAAGAAGGGGCTGCGTGCCGCCGACCAGGTCACTGCGCCTGCTCCGTCACTGCCGCGCCAGCCGCTGCTGCCGCCCTCGTGGCCACCGCCGCCGCCGCTCGCTTTCTCCGCCACGACCGCCGCCGCCGCCGCTACCGTCGCCTCCTCGCTCACCGCCCACCCTCGCCGCCTGCTCGCCGTCTGCGCTCACGCTCTCCGCGCCGCCGCTCTTCTCCTCCGCAGGTGCTCAAGAAGTTCCCGGAGCACGGCGAGACGATCGCGATGAAGGCGCGCCCGCCACCGCCGCCGCCGCCGCCGCCGCCGCCGCCGCCGCCGCCACCGCCGCCGCCGCCGCCGCCGCCGCCGCCGCCGCCGCCGCCGCCGCCGCCGCCGCCGCCGCCGCCGCCGCCGCCGCGCCGCCGCCCGCCCTCCCCACCCCATTAACCGCATCAACCCACCCGCCGCTGCCGACGTCGGCATGTCTGCATTCCGCCCACTCCCCACCTCAGCCTCCAC